CTGATTTAATGGAAGAACTTGGGGTGAAAATCTCTCAAAAGTCACTGATTTAAAACTAAAAGTAATTTCAAAAGGTAACGACAAAATAGTTGAAAGCAGTTAAAACGTTTTTTCATCATTGAAGTTAAAAAGCAACAACGTTAAAGGGACAGCTTATCATTTGTTATTATGTATTTGCTAAGTATTTGGTTAAAAAATGTACCTTTTCATTACCTGATTTATGAGCTCTTGTAATTTGCTTGGCTATCAACTTATAATGTATGAAGTTCAAGACGTTTCTTTATAAAGACAATTGTAGCATGCCACAGTTAAATTTCAGTGCCTGGATCAAGTTGTGCTCTAAGTTATTTAGATTGGAACTTATGTTTGTTAGTTATAACTTAACTTTTTTAGCCTGTAGCAAGATTCTAAATAGTTTTAGAAACACTTAAAATATTGGCAACAAACCTTGGATTGAAACAAAAAACTGTTTTCCGGCCTTTGACTTAGAATCAATTGCAATGGTTAAATTCAATTTTGTTACAATTATTTGTACATTTTTTTTCTATGGTCCACAGACAGACTTAAAACATAGTTTTGATCAGGGCTAATACAAACACTTTAGTACCTTGCACTAAAGTAAACAAGTAAAGCTATAACATTGAAAAATAATGGTCATAATACGTATCACAAACAACATTGAGTAAGCCAACAGTTATCTCATGAAAGATAAAGTGAATCATTTGAAGTAGTAAGGCGTGCAAACATCAAACAACATCAATGCATGACTGATAAGTTTAACTTGACTTTACAACTGTCGTTCTGATAAAATGGACAAACCATTAAAAACCCGTTATGCACTCTTATTTGTAGGCTAATTTGTTTACAAATATTTTTGTGTTACTTGACTTTTGTTATGTACTATTTGAAAATGTTTGTACTTAAATGTTATGGGAATGATGAGACGACTCTTCCAAATGATTAGGCTACCCCAAGTTTAAATTTGATGGCTTTTGTTTTAGCGAATTTCCCATATGGGGAATAAGCTATTCCTGTAGGTCTCATTGACCCGGAACCAATTTGCTTTTTCGTTTTCAGATCCCCAGAACCCAAAAACACCATAAAATTCATACATATATGTCCATTAGAGCTAAATACATATGATAACTTGAGCAAAAATGATCCGATTTTGATGAAATTTGGTACAAACGTGTAAACATAAGACGTTTATTCTGACAAGTTCGCGAACCAACATGATCAGACTTAGAGAACAGGGTTTTATAGGGTATAGAGTTTGCCTAAATAATTTACTATAGGCCTACCGAAGTTCGTTATTATGCGCCTAACGGCAAAAAAAAAACATTTTTAAAATTCTTTTTTATTTTTATGGAAAATTTATTATTATTTATTATTTTTTTTGGTAAATTGTTGTATATTGCTTGTTTATGAATGTATTGTGATCAAGTTTGGAAAATGTATTTATTTAATACTGAAGTACAGTAGAGTCCCGCAAACTCGGCGTAATGTGGACTGGAAGGGTGCCGAGTTTGTGAAATGCCGTGTTATGGGGAACTAGGGTTTAAAAGAAGAACAATACAATTTTTAAGCTAAAATTAACTACCTCTTTTATGTATATTTACATTTCAAGTTAGTATTAAGTCATCAGTTGTAGTACAACAAATCATTTGTACAAGCTGAGAATGATATGACTTGAGCTGGCTTGAGTCCATGTTTAACTCGGACTCAAAAAATCACTAATTTTCTGAGCCAGGTGATGGCCGAGTTATCCAGACTGCCGGGTTATCGAGTGCCGAGTTTGCGGGACTCTACTGTATTTACATTTCACAAAAAAATACACCTTAATATCACTGTAGCAGCAAATTTTTATACTCGTTAAACCAATGGTATTTAAATAGGGAATAATCTGATATTTTTTAAGAGATATGTTTGTGAAAATATAATCAGACAAATGGTCTGTAGGTTTACTGCAGTAGGGGTATTTTCTTTGGCCACCAGGAATAGGACAGGTCCAATTACCGATCCTTGAGGCACACCAAGTTTTTAATTTTAATGCCTCAGAAATCACGCCGCCTAGAGAGATGACTTGATAGTAGTCTTCAATTTTAAGACTCAAAAGAGCCTGTCCTAAAAATCCCTTTAAATTGTCGTAGATGATCCTCGTGACATAACAACGGAAGGTTAGACCCAGAGTACAAATTCCGTAACCAACCAAAGGCCTCCTCTTAAGGTGGTTTTGTAGCTGTATGTCCATTTGTAATGTAAACAGAGACTTAAGTAACTTTTAGGCGAGCCAAATTGTCTAATTTGCAATCTCATTTCCTTTTCAAAAACATTACACTAAATCTCATTTTTCAAAGTTTGTATATAAGTTTACTAACCCCACATCAATGCTGTTAGGCATATTTGACATGTTGTTGGCCTCCAAACATACCATATAATAGAGCCAGAATATTCATGGAGAGTCAAATACACAGGAGTTGCGACTGTAATTTATAACAGTTACACTCTATTGGTTGCATTACTTTTAGAACCGAACTTCAGTTATGGACACTTTTTCATAATTTATAATCAACGGTGTAAAAAGTTGTCTTAAAACCATGAAACGTGTTGTTATTGATGAGGCAATTTGATCTAAACATTCTTTTAGGACATTTGCAACTTGAATTTCTACTGTAAATTATACCCCTGTGTGTTTTTTCCTTAGGCTGTCAGACAACATTATTTATTTAATGCATACACTATTTTACACAATTGTATACATATTTGGAGGAAGTATCAATAGTAGGTATTTAGTTTGATTGTTAATATACATTAATTATTATAAAGAATATGTGATTACTGTGTATTGTATCGGGTGAAAGCAAAAGCAACTAAACCGACTGGGCTTGAATTTTACATAATGTAGATTACGAACCTGGCTAAAATGACCTAGAATCACTTTAGTTTTGAAACTCACTTTAGTAATTTCTTAGACATTTGTAAGATGCACTTGTAAGTAACAATTCTTTGTCCAGTAAGTAGGCTATTAAAACAATTTCACGCTTAGGTATAAAATGTATTTTTTACCTTACAAAAAAAGCATTATGTTTATTTTTTTACATCTTAGTTCTTCCTTATTTTTCTTCATTCCTTTTTGCTAACTAAAGCAAATATTGTATTTTTCTTTGTTATTTTATCATTTAAAATTATGCAAACGGATAAGGTATAAGTAAGGCTGTTCTATTCAATTAAACGTTGATAGTGACTTTGAGTAAAAGCTTATGTATCTCAGGGTAAGAAATACGTTTGAACAGGGATATTTACAGTCGTAGGTCAAAGAAGGTCAGATAAATCAAATGTGAAAGTCGGGGAAACCCTGAAGTATTGTTAGCTCAATGCATGTTTTGCCACTGTAGAGGTTATGACGGCTTCATGTCAGCAAACTTGCTGTCTGACCTTGGCAATATCATGTCATCATCATTGTCCTATCTCAACTATCATATTACCTTCTAATCTGTGTGCTTCATGGTTAACACCCACTTAAATTCACATTGGAAAATAGAATGCTGAAATGTTTGGAATGGAGTTGAAGAGACTACTCGCAAAAGAAATATCTTTTGACCAAGTATGAACTGTTACCATACGCTTTTGTTTGAACATTATAGTGTACCTGATCAAGAACAAAAGAATAATTTTCAAAAATAATACATTCTAATTACAATACAGGGTTAGACAAAAGAATGGAAACCCTTTCTTAACTTTACAATTGTATACACAAGGAAAACTAAATTCTGCACACTTTTGCCATAGAATTGCACTCAACGACAATTTTGTAGGACCCAAAATATCATTTGGGCGTAGCTTTAAAATTTTGAATGTAAAGAAGCCCAATCGAGTTACATCTAATTTTAAAGGTCTTAAACAAAGGGATTAGCGAAAACCAGGGGTCCCTAGCTCAATACATTACGACATTACTTTAATTTAAAACCTCTTCAAAAATACATTAACTTCGTTGTCTAAGTATGATAAGGATTTTAAATGTACAAAATTTAAATTTTAAATATTTTCCTGCAATTCTTAAATAAAATTGTCACGCCAACCAAAAAGTGTGTTTAATGCTGTATAAAAGTGTGCAAATTTTAGTTTTCCTGAGGTAGTTCATTGAAAAGTTAAGAGGCGGTATTCATACTATTGCCTAAGCATTATTTTTTATAAAGTCATCACAAAGCGTACTGTTTGACCTACTGATATATTAGTTTTGAAAAATAGACAGTAAGCAAGGATTTTGCAAGATTGGTGAATTGCTGACTAGCTAAGCGTACATTTATTGTGAAACATTAGTCCTACATTGTTTATCTTATTCATTTACCTCACAAATATTAGTTAAGCCTGCATACTCCTGTATCCATTGTAAATCATGTTGATATTGGCCTCAACAATACTGCCTTTATTCTTCACCTTAAGTCACAGCAAGCTTTTTCAGGTCTTTATTTTGTTGTTGATCAAATACTGGTTTTCCTGGAGCTTTCTTTATCTTTTTCTCCACCTAATTGCTTCAGAGGTTACAAATATTGTTATTGTTAAACCTTTACAAAATGAACCAGTAGCGTTTTAGGTGATATGTATTTACTACTTTAGGTGATATGTACTTTTCATATCTATCATTTGATAGATTGGTGATAAGTTTACATTTCCTAAAGTTCTGCTTATCGTTGCAACTTGCATTAAACATACATGTATTTAAATCTGATGTGTTTGTGAGCAATTCTTCCACAAGATTTTACGAATCTGTAATAAATGTGGAGTATATGGCGATAGACTTTACCCTCTTCAAAAAAGATCCTAATCACAGAATTTGACTCATAATTGAAGAGAGCATACAATTTCCCTCACATCAATAGAGAAATTAAGACAAATCGCCACATATGGCATGTGAACTGAGTTTTAGGCCTTAAGTTTTCATTTTTCTATATTTTTTATAATTATAAACAAAAATTATTGTTAAATCTGTTTTGTTCCAGAGAATGATTCTTCTCTCCTTGGCAGCAGCTTTGGTTGTTGCTCCTGTCACTCCATTTACTGTGGAATGCATCAACGGAAACTGCACCGAAAAAGAATCATCAGATGTTCCTATGTTCAACCTGGCTTCCATCTTTCCCTTCTTCGGACCAGTAGACTTTGACGCTAACAGAGACAGCGCACCTTCAGACACCGCACTTGTCCCTGCAGAGTCCAATGACACTAATCCGTCCGGAGGCATCGTGTCCATCCGGATAATGAGGGTTTTCTCCGTCCCGAACGTTGATGACGCTGATCAGCCAATGGGTGACATAGATCAGACTCCCAGCGAAGTCCGTCCTTCTCTGTTGCTGCAGAAGATGTTTGACAGCATACTAGCTGACATTGGCCTATTGGACCTCTCAAACCGCAATTTGACAAGTGAGTTCTTATAGTTCAACCGTAATCTATTGAACTGTAGAAATTCCATTCCCATGTTAAAGTTATAGTTGTTGAATAAATATGATTTTAGTTTGATGTTTATCACTGATTTTTGTTGAACACGACAATTTTTTTAAACAAGCTCAACTGAAATGACTAGTAAGCAACACATAGTTAATTTGTGACATCTATATATTTAATTCCGTAAGCGAATCAGTCCCCAACAAATATCTTGAGATAGGAAAAGGTATCATGGTTTTTAAGGATTCATTTTAAAGATTAAGTTCCAAGGACGGTGAGAAAAATATCAGATGTGTCAAAAATTCTCCCTGCTCTGCCCCACAGGCCGTCAAAGATCTGGTAATTTTCTAATGGGAATACTGCTACAGTGTTTCTACCAGTGTTGGGAAGTAGCGCGCTACAAGTAGCGACGCTACAGTAGCGCGCTACTTTTTTTGTAGCGTTAGCTGTAGCTACGCTACTTTTAAGATTTTGTAGCTTTAGCTGTAGCTAGCTACATTTTTAAAGTAGTTGTAGCGGAATTTTAGCTACTTTTCTCGCTACATTAACATTGATTGAGATAGTGATTTTTATCACAACCTTACGTGAAACAACCTTTTTCAAACTGAGATTTTCAAAAAAGTTAGGCCTACTTTCTTGGCTTCATACAGCTGGTCACAGTCGTGTCATTACCTATTAAAACGTTGCGTGGACATGGAGGCTATTATCTGAGTGTTATCCACATGTTTGGCTCTCATTTCCTTCATTTGCTACTCTATGATTACTGTCAGATAAAATAAAATTGCTAGCTGCAGACGACGTTTAATTAAACATTACCGTACCGGTGACAAGAGAAGCTATTGAATGCTTTCAAGTGATTGTCAGGTAAGGGAAATTAGTACCCAATTTAGTTTCTTTATTGTATAAATTTAGTTTAAACTTGGGTTTTAATGGAAACCAACACTAAACCTAAAAATAATGAGAAAGCTGGTCTATCAACCTTTGCTTCATCTGTTGATTGTGGTTCACCATCACAAGCCCTTCCTTGGTTAGATTACAAAGATTTTTCAAAGGTTTACTAAATGAACGAAGAGTAAATTTCCTGATGAGATTTAAGATATGCCTAGGCCTAGAATACATAATAATTGTAACAAAAAAATCTCCATATAACATGAAACTTGCATTAAAAAAGTAGCATACGGTAGTTTGCTCCTGCTAACAGCTCTTGTCAAGGACTATTCCTAGGCTATGCTATTGGATTAATACGAATATCAAGTTCAATTAATAGGAATATGTATGTTTAGTCCTTGTAAGAACAAGCCTACTATAGCCAATTTGTTGTACAAAGCCAAGTAGGCTACGCCTAAATGTTATTTTTACTTAACAATTTTCAACATGTTTAAATTAAAAGCCGATTTCAGGATAAGCTGCTGAATACTGTTTTCTGCACCAACGTTTGTTGAAGCACAATTTGACCTATGCATAATTTGACAAAGAACGATTTCTTGACATTGAAAAGTGTTATTCATAGAACAAGTAACATATTACTATGGGTAAAAGTTATAGAAATGTAGTTTTTAACATTAAAAATAAGGAAAGGCAATTAACTCCAATTTCAGTAGGCTAGGCTCTGTAACACAAAAAAGTATTTTTGAATAATCGTTTTACAGTTTTATTGTTTTAATAGTTGATAAAAGAATCTATAAATGAATGTAGATTAAAGAAATGAAATGGGCTTTTAAAATATAGTTTGTTTGTATGTCCTTTGAACTTAGGCTAATGAAATTTACAAATAATATGCTTAAAAATAATGCCATATTTAAAAACAAGCACTAAATACGATGGAACACCCAACTAACTTATTTTGGTTCTGTTGTTGTAACGTTAGGTTTACATAGTTGCAATTAATTTTACAGGAAAAGTAGCTAAAATTGTAGCTATAGCTACATTTCATTGTAGCTGTAGTTGTAGCTAGCTACTTTCTCGGAACTGTAGCTGTAGCTGTAGCTAAGCTACTTTTTTGGAAATGTAGCAGTAGTTGTAGCTAGCTACATTTTAAAAGTAGCTTCCCCAACACTGGTTTCTACATGCTTTTTTAAATATACCAGCTGATGTAAACATTGCGTACTCGTTTGTTTAAGAATCAAAAAGTAAGAGAGAAAATTAAATTTCTACAGTACACTCACCATGAGTGGCTCATTTTACTAGTTATATTTCAATTAAAAAAAAAGTACAGCTGGTCCATACTGATTAAAAAGTCAATTATAGATTAACCATTTAAACTCAATGAATTTTATTCGTTCCTGAAAAAAGTTATTAGTTTTTAGGTTTCATTACTAGGCCCTGCTATCCTTGATTGTTGGGACATAAATAAATGATCCTAGCTAAAAGAAAACAGCTGATGTTAGAATTTTTGGAAAATACGTTAAGTCCATTGTATATGTACCATACTTAAAAACCATTAATCATTAAACTAGGCATATGTCATTGAACTATCTTCCAATTTCTTACCTGCTGCGTTTATGCAAGGCCCCATTAGAAAAACAGGCCATGCTGCACGCACGATCCATGACGTCACACTAGTGGATAGATTTCATTGATAAATTCATTGCCATCGCCATTTCCCATATCATGGTGTCTACTCTCCGGGAAATTCGGGAAAACCGGGAAACCTCCGGGAATTTTATCTTACCTTGAAATGTCCTGGAAAACTCCAGGAATCCACCCAAACCTCCGGGAATCCGTAGCCCAGTCATCGGAATCGTCGCCTAACCGAAACACTACCGCTTTTGTTGCCACGATCGCGGGAAACGATTATCGGTGTTGCCGAAACCGCAAGATATGCTCACGGGTATTGCCGCGATTGCGAGTGACGATTATCGGTGTCGCTGAAACCACGAGATATGCCTACGGGTGTTTATACAGGAAAAACAGGAAATTATAAAAATGAGTAGAATAGCTAGAAAAGTACAAAATAAATGTACTTTATCTAAACTAAATAAAAGAAAAAAAATATTAAATAAAAAAATTACTGAGAGTAAAAAGAAGTTTTTTGATTTCCAAATTCATAATTCAAGTAACATTAACAAAACCACATGGAGAATAATTAATAATGAAGTTTCAAACAAAAAAAACACTTACTCAGAGAATATTAGTCTTCGACTGAATGATGAACTAATTGAAAATCCTACTTATGTTGCAAACATGTTCAATAATTACTTTATAGATGTGGTAGATAGCTTTAGTGTTAGGCAACCTCTAGATAAAAGTGGAGGAACAACTAAGAAATTTAACGATGTAAATAAAGTAAAAGGGCTTTTTGAAAGTAGGATATTTAAGTGCACTCCTGTAGATGATAAGGAAATGGAAAGAATTATTGGTTCACTTAAGAATAAAATGTCTAGTGGTTATGATGATATACCAACTAAATTATTAAAATATCTAGGGAACCTTTTAGTAAAGCCACTTGTACATTTGGTGAATTCCTCTTTTGTGTCTGGCTTATTTCCACATCAACTAAAAATTGCAAAGGTAATTCCATTACATAAAAAAAACGAGGTTACTGAAATATCTAACTATAGACCTGTTTCATTGCTCCCTGCTGTATCAAAAGTATATGAGAAAGCAATGTACATTAGATTGGTAGATTATCTTGAAGCAAATAAGTTATTTGATAATGCTCAACATGGTTTCAGAAATGGAAGATCAGTAATAACAGCAGCTACTGACTTCATTGAGTCCATCGTAGAATCAATTGAAAACGGTGAAAATGTTCTAGGGATATACATGGATCTCTCTAAAGCATTTGATAGTGTTTGTCATTCAATTTTGCTACAGAAACTGGAAAGTCTTGGAATAATGGGAGTCCCCTTAAAATGGTTTCAATCTTATTTGGATGGTCGGATGCAATTTGTTGAAATAAAATCAAACAAAAACAATTATTTAACTACATTTAACTCTCATAAACGTAGAATTAAGTGGGGGGTGCCACAGGGTTCAATTTTGGGACCAATTTTGTTTTTATGTTATATAAAAGAATTGCCTAAAAGTATTGTTAATCCTCAAAAGAGTAAGATTTGTTTATATGCAGATGACTCAAATTTAACAGTGGCGGGGAAAAGTAAAGATGAGTTGGAAATTTCGGCCTTTGTAGAATTGTATAATATACAACAATTTCTAAAAAATAATAATTTGAATCTTAATACAACAAAAACAAACTTTATGTCCTTTTCGACTAAACAAAGTAAGCAGAAACTTGAACCCAATTTGATCATTGATTCAGAATCAATAGAACAACTTTCTGAAGCCAAACTTTTAGGTCTCTATGTAGATGAACATCTAAGTTGGAATAAACACGTTGAAAAATTGTTAAAAAAGCTTAATTCTGGAGTGTACGCATTGAAAAGAATGTCTTATTTGTGCAATTTAGATGCACTCAAAAAAATATATTTTGCCCATATTCATTCTCACATAAACTATGGCATTGGACTATATGGGGCAACTACGATTAAAAATTTAAATAAAATTCTAATCATGCAAGAAAAGGCCATTAGAACTATGTTACACCTTAAAAAAGATGAATCAGTTAAATCTCACTTTAAAAATCTAAATATTTTAACAGTTTTTGCAGCGTATACTTTTGAGATAGCATGTATAGCTAAAAGAGACAGCCTAAAATATGAGCCAGTTGTGCCACATAGCTACAATACAAGACATAAAAAGGATATTGTAACTTCAACCTATAAGCTGGAATTCTCAAAAAAAAAACCGACTTTTGCTGGATCACAAATTCTAAGGAAATTGCCAGCCTCTATAAGGGAGGAATCAAATTATAAATTATTTAAATCTAAATTAAAAAAACATTTAATAGGAAAGGCGCCTTATACAATGGAGGAACTCATTGAATAAATATTCATACTTAAAATGTATTTATATCTAAGCTAGTTTAGTACTTTATACTTGACACTATTTTTGTACCCATGTACATGTAAGGAAAATAAAGATGTTTTGATTTGATTTGATTTGATTGCCGCGATCGCGAGAGACGATTATCGGTGTTGCCGAAACCACGTGAGATGCCTACGGGTGTTGCCGCGATCGCGGGAAACAATTATCGGTGTTGCTAAAACCGCAAGATATGCTCACGGGTATTGCCGCGATCGCGGGAGATGATTATCGGTATTGCCGAAACCGCAAGATATGCTCACAAGTATTGCCGCGATCGCGAGAGATGATTATCAGTGTCGCCGAAAGTGCGAGATATGCCTACGGGAGTTGCCGCGATCGCGGGAAACGATTATCGGTGTTGCTAAAACCACAAGATATGCTCACCACGGGTATTGCCGCGGTCGCGAGAGACGATTATCGTTGTCGCCGAAACCACGAGATATGCCCACGGGTGTTGCCGCGATCACGGGAGACGATTATCGGTGTCGCCGAACCCGCGAGATTTCCTCACGGCTATTGCCGCGATCGCGGTAGACGATTATCGGTGTTGCCGAAACCGCAAGATATGCCTACGGGTATTGCCGCAATCGCGAGAGACGGTTATCGGTGTCGCCCAAACCGCAAAATATGCATACGGGTGTTGCCGTGATCGTTGACGGTGTGACGTTTTGTCGCTGGTGTTGAAGATACTGCAAGATATGCTCACTGATATTCCCACAATCGCGGGAGATGATAACTGGTGTCGCCTTACCTACCAGTTATATTGTTTTATTATGTTGTATAAAATATTATTCTTTGGAAATGTTTTGTTACAAATAATAATAATAATCATTATTATTAATAATAATAATAGCCTAATAATAATCATTTTCATTTATTAGCGGGTTGCGATTAGTTAAACGGGTTCCGATAGTAGCTCCTTAAAATTCAGGAATTTGTCTTGAATTCTCCTGGAAAACTCCTTGAATTTTTCAAACCAGGTTTAGTAGACACCATGCATATGTTTTAGGTAAATAAACAAGCTGGCTGTTTGTAAGATTTCAATGGTAAGAGTTTAGTACAACTATCCACCACTGTGACGTAGTATTGCGCTGCCCGTGCTGCAGCATGGCCTGTTTTTCTAGTGGGGCCTTGGTTTATGCCATTTGTAATTGTAATTACTTGGTTGCACTTCAGACGCTACATTCAATCCTTTTGATGATCTTCAGTAAATTTCTAAACTAATTTCCAACATTCATCTAGCTCTTTTTCTTCCAAAATTTTGAGATCCTGAAGACAAGATGTGTGTTGTAGGTGCGGAGGTGTACTCAGCTCTAGCAGAACGTAATGCAGAAGGCCGTCCAGTCAAGACTTTGATTCTCAGCAACAGCCGTGTTCATCCGATGGACGCTGGCACCTTTGCCGTGGCTGAGGGCACCATCAACACTCTTATCATGGCCAACTCCTCAGTCAACCTGGACGCTCTCAGAGGACTCACCAACCTCAAGGTACTTATGCTCTCGTCTTTACTGTTGAAAAATACAATCGAGTTAGAGTTATCACAGCTGACATTGTACAGAAGAGTGTCAGTTACTCGAAGGTCTTTAGAAATGTTGGTTAACCATAACACTGGCCACTAGTGTTGCTGCGAAAGCAGCATTACAGCTTATAGTGACAGCTTATGGTGTCACTGAGACCATAAGATATACTCACATGTGTAGTTGCCATTGCGTGAGACGTTTTTGTTTGGTGATGTCAAGATCACAATATGTCTTGCGGGTATTACTGTGATCGTGGCAGACGTTCATTACTGTGGCCGAGACCGTAAGATATGCATAGATGTTGCTGCAATGGTAGGAGACAATCAAGGCCCACAAAAATTCACGTAAAAACATATTTTAATGTGGTAAATTATAGTTAAAATAATATATATAACTTTTACTGCAAATATCCGACAATCCAAAAAATCAGTTATCCGAACTCCCCAATTCCCAATTGTTCCCTTAACCACCCACAATAACCCAACCAACTTCTGAACAAATTATATCTCAGAATAAGAGTAATTCAGAAATCACAATAATATACTCCAGTTAAAGGAACTAAACTGCCAAAGTGGCTCAAGACAAATTTAACTGAGCGTCTTATGAATAATCCTCTGTATTCTTAAACCAAATTTTTGACTCTAAAGCAGCTGATGTTTAGTGTTAGTCAATAAACTGGAGAGAAAAATTTGTTGATTTTTTTGTCCTTGGACATTAGACTCAAGTAGGCCTATGTTTTTCACATTACATCAGGGGTAGCTGTAAAATCCATTGGTTATATGGCGGAATTTGAACACGCGACCTCAGGGACCAAAGTTTCCCACTTTACCACTAGACCAGGTCGCTCCCACATTCGTTGATTATATTGTACCCATGTTTAACGACAGTCAATTCTATCCTCTAATGCTATTGTAATGTTTTTCTCAGGTGTTGAACTTGTCCAACAACAACCTCACCACTTTCCCCTGGTATGGTCTGATGGCCGACACTCTGGAGGTTCTTGACCTCAGCGACAACTTGTTTGTGGAAATCAGACCAGAACTGTCCACCCTGAAGGCCCTGAGGGAACTTTACCTTTCCAACAATAAGTGAGTAGCACAATGTAACAACTGGTCAATAAATATTTGGAGGTAGCAGTTCTTGACGGGATTTTGTGCTGTTGGCCATCTTGTAATGTTCTGGGGATGGTTTGGGGCGTTTGGGCCTTTTTTGGGGTTTGGTTGTAGTCCAGCAAAGAAAGCCCCATGCGGATGGACAAAATCTAGATTAAAAGAACCTCTTAAAAAAACCATGTTAATTTAACTGAAAAGCCAAGTGCTCAAAAGGATAATCACGATTTCTGATTCCTAAAGATTGTTTCAATGTAACATTAATTCTACAAAGACATTTTCTTCCAACAAGGCATTTATATCTTCTTTACCACAGTCCCTTTTTCTTCTACATCTATCCTCTTAATCACCTCTCTCTTGCATCCCTCTTAATCTTTCTTCTTTCCTTCACCTCTCCCTCCATTTCTCTTCACCTTTCTTTTCCCACCATCTTCCATTCAGTGGCGTATCCAAGAGGGGGGGGGGGGTTTATAGGTTTGACACCCCCCTTGACAATAAAACGGTACAAAATTTTTTTTCCTAACAAATTCCATACCCCCTAGTGTAACCCCCTGAAGGCCATCCTAGTTACACCTATGCTTCCGTTCACCTATAAGGTCTTACATTGACCAAAACAAATTCTAGTGAGTCTATAATAAACTGTTTGTATGTTCTAATAAATTCAGTAGACTAAAAAGTATGTTGTGAATGTTACATGTTTATATTTAATTTCTTTGTGACTTACAGGATCATGTCTGTTGAAGAAGCGCCTCTGAACTTGTTGCCAAACCTTGAGGTTCTGGACTTATCCCACAACGTCCTTGTCAATGGAAACTTTGCAAGCCTTAAAAAGCTCAGTCAGGTTAGTTTAGTAGTTTTGTCTAGTTGATACAATTATTTTTTACACCTTCAAACTCCACAGATTATTCAGTGATCAAACTATGAGTATTTTAATAATATTTTCCCTCAAATGAAAATCCAAGTAGGCCTCCCATATTCAACTTGACTCCCATGTTGAACTACAGATAACTAATAGCTGTCAGTTGTTTTTTTTTTTTTTTTTAGCTGTTTCCGATAGCTAGTGATATTGGAAAATTTGGGTTTTTATTCTATGAAATTTGGCTCTAGCCCAGAATCGCTTTCACATTACCGTACTTCAGGCTAAACCTAGAAGTTGTGGCTTAGAACTAAGATAATATCCATTGGTAAAATGGCGAGATTTGGACCCACTCTTTAAGACTGGATGAGCTTGCATCCAAGTTGGGCTATGTTACTCTTTCGTCCAATATGTATATGGGTTGTTGTTGTGCATAGAGCTGTTTGTTATATTCATAGTCTACCAGAATTTCCATCACCGTTCGGACCTGTACTTTATAGTGGATTAACAATTTTGGATTTTGTTAACCCTTAATAATATCCATCAGGGATTAAAACTTATCCATTTCTCGGTGTCGTCAAACAGGTAACATACTTATAACACGAACGAACATAGTATGATACACAAAACACGACATAACAAGAGCTAGGCCTAGAATTCAACACTCAACGGGCATTGGGAACGTTTCGCAGCGGTCGGTAACAGTCCACTTTAATCCCTGATGGATATGACTATGGGTTAACAAAAGCCGAAACCTGGGTCATCCACTAAAAGGACAGTCGGAGCTGAGACGGAAAATCTGGTATGTATATTTTATTGTTTGTCTAAATTTATTATGAAATGAAGATAAAGAGTGTTTGTCTTTGTGTGTTTATGCGAAGTGTACGCAAAAACACCTAAACTTGGCAACAATTTTATACAATGTTCTTTAAAGACTGCCAACATCCAGGCCTTGAACCTTGTAGGACACTATTTCTAACACATGATTACCTTAACAGCTGAATCTTGACTGGAACTTCATGAGGTTGATGAACACCAACGCTCAACTTCCCTCACAGCCTCTGACCCTCAAGTTGGCCTCCAACCCTTGGAGATGCGATTGTGGTCTGCTCAACGTCCGAGACAACAACGAGATCCTCGACATGGACCAAGTCATGTAAGTTTATGTAGTACTGTCTACTCTTGGTAGTTCAAACATTCGATGAATCAAAACATTCGACAAATCAGTCCGTAGAGAATCTCTTGATATTTCAAAGTTTTACCACGCATTTTGATACCCGGTATTTCAAAGTCCAGGTAGGCCGATTTGGAACATGCGGTACCTAGAAGTTTCAACGGCTGAACTCTCCATAATTCAAAGGGACGCAGGTGAATTTATAGATTGTGTCAGAATAGGAAACTAAACATCCTGTTAGGCACAGAAGCTTTGAGATTCAAAATATCTGGTTTTTACAAAACAATTAGACACTCATGTCCAGAGCCGAATATAGGGAAGGCAGTATTGTAGCTCACCTAACCTAACCTTATCAATTTACTCACCCCCCTCGAAGTATATTATATATTCGTCACTGCTCATGCCAATCATTGAAAGCTCGTAGAATTCTGAAAAAATCTGAATAAAGAGTCTCCTTGCATTATTTGGGTTTTATGCTCAAAGCAATGTTTTAGTAAGCTTGTCAATTATTCCTAATCTAATTACTTGTCAAGAGTTACTAGTACCTGTATTTGTGATGAATTTACAAAGTTAGGCCTATTTAGAATTGGATTTCCAAGTTCACACTTTTGTGTTGTCTTTGCTGTAGCATGTGCATTATTAACATTGGTTGAAGGTGGTAAAACTGCATTTGTATTGTAAGTGTACGCACCAAAAAAGCATGATCCAACTAACACAATGTGTGTAACAAGCATGATACTGTAGTTTGTTTTGCACTGATGATTGATTTTGATTATTAGTTTCAATTTGTTGATTCTTACAGTTGAATGTAGGCCTACCACATTTATAAAATTGCGTTGTCTGTGAACTAACCTAACTTAACCTGGTCATTATCACTAAATACTACAGCTTTAAAAATAAATAGTTCAATGGTCCATGCTTTCCAAATGATCAATGCATTCCAATTGATAATGCGTTCGGAGGAGATGATGACGGATGATGTCACGATTGCGGGAGAACCTACTTCCACTTAGTAAATAAATTTTAAAATTTTGTATTCAATTTTTCTTTATTTTTGTCTAATCTCAACAATTTTGTAATACAAGGTAGATCTGTTCCAATTTAATTCGTATTAGCAGGACTCTCTTATTTACTCTCTCTGACTTATTTTTTGGGTCAGATTTTTGAGTGCCAAATGTATCTTAAACTAATTAGTGAGTGATTTTTTTATTGTGTTAAAAACCTTTATAGATATTGATTTCACTTAATATTTTTAGGACATGATTCTGTTGTAGCCCTTTATTGCGAACACTTGATAATTGTAGAAACAATGCTATGTGTTGCCATACAAGCTTTATCCAAATCCTTGTCCAATTGTGATCGTCCTATGTTTTACAGGTGTCTCAAGCAAAGTTACGATTATAGCCAATCCCCTGATAAATGGCTTGTCTCTAACCTAACCAAGGACTCCATCGGTCACCGAGGTTGTGACGATGTTCCCGAACTTTACAACTATATATCTAACAAATGTTTGACGCAGAATCAAATCGCCCAAGATTTACTTTTGATGACGGCGATGTTTTTGTTTTTGATTGTCTGCATGTATACTTTCAACAAAATCTGTTTCCCCAAGACTGTTAGCAAGGGAAAGGTTTGGATACGGGCCCAAGAGATTCCAAAATGGAGCTTTGACAAGCTAGGGAAGCAACATGAGGTGCCTTATATTCAAGTTGAGAAGAGCCCTGTTAAAACTTAAGCTGTGGAATACGATTTTAAAACGTGTTGGGGGTATTAACACAAAATTTAGTGCCTTTTAATGTCAAATTATTTGAGTTTAGGTTGCTAACATAATAATTTTGAAAAAAAAACTATATTTAAATTTTTTTGTCAAACTATTTTTGTTCTCACTTTATTAAACTATAAACACCTTTATCGAGTTTTTATTGGTGGAGTAGTCGGTGATTCGTTACGTTATTGTGTTGTGTTTTGAAAGACTAAACACATGCACAAAGTATTTTACTGTAAAAGTTATTTTATAAAATATTCATTTGACTATGATAAAGAATCTCATGCACAGTTAAAGTTTAATATAAATACTTATAGAAGAGGTGAAATAAACAAATTAAAAATAACAAGGTCGATGGAAAAGTATATTTTAGATTTGCCGAATAGTGGTATAAAAAATTGTTTACAATAAAATTAGATAAAATTTTAACTTTGATTGGAGAAAAACTAATTTAAAATATTTTACACTAAATTTTTAGATACACTGAAATTAGTTTTAAATTTGCATCAAAAATATTTTCTTACATAGGCTAATTTAAAAAATTACTAACTACCTAACAATATAATGTATGTGTGGGTATGTGTAGTTTACAATTAACACCTTAAATGCCATGATCTGGTAGCTATAGTTTAAAATGTAAAAAAAAATCTTTGTACTACAGTTACCTAACAATCAACTGTTTTCCCCCTGAGTTAGACTCATATTATCTGGTTTCTGAACTCTTTAACTCACTGTAAGAAATTTTACCAACTGCATTACAGAATTCCAACCTAAAAACACAAAATAGTCATCATTTTACTATCTGGCAATGCTGTGTGCTCTTAACACGCTGTTGGCAACACTGTAAATAGATCAGCTGTTGCACTTTTTACAAGATTTGAATGCAATAACAAAGTATAATTTAATGATGTAGGAATTTAATCTTTTGATCTTTTAATAACTTTATAGTATTGGGAAAGAAGGCTTTCTTTAGTGGAAAATTGTCCATTTTGGCACACAAAAGTACTGAACATAACAGTTTTAACATATTTTTTGACAGCATTTTTACAAATAAAGTCCATTTCTGTTTACAGATGTTTTTTACATATTTTTTTTGTTTTTAGGTAACTGTAGGAAAGATATTAGTGTGTAATTAAGTAGTTTAGAAAATAACTGATAACCATTAAATTTCACTCGGTTTCACCTTAGGTTTAGTTATGGGCATGCAATTGATGTTTGTATTTTAGTTATAAGTGCACAGTATTATGAAAAAGACATTTTGTATAGTTTGGGAAATAAAAGTGTTGTTTTACTAACCTTTGTTTTTTATCCATCCCATTGTGAATGAGTATGAATGTGCCATTCTGTATTCATTAATTCATGCACTGACACACAGATAAAGCTAGTGTTGTGATAGGTTAGTTTCAATTTAAATTTTCTTAAAAAAATTTACAAACAATAGAGGTTTAATTCTTTGAAAAGGAATGTATTCTAGGAGATCCATAACGACAAACAGACAAAACTACAGAAAAAAAACATTTTTACATTAACACTAATGAACTGTGTTCATAAAAAGGCAATGAAAAATACTTAAAAACCTATTAAATTTAATATTTTAAAAATAAGCTTGTAATTATTTATTCTCTTTTTATTAATTTCACAGCTGATTTAATTGAAACTGATCAGCTGATTTTGTTGGAATGTTCACTGGCTGATTGAGTTAAAATGTTGTATGGCCCTTTGTATTTATATCCCTTGCCTATCCTGAAATATTCGTATCCTAAGCATGATAGTCCAGTAAATCTGTCAGAAAAAATGGGGTTGCTGTGCAAAAGGTCGGGTAGTTCTGATTTCTGGATATGTTGTTAGTATTGGGCCCATGACATAAAATCCAAGTTATCCACCTCGAGATACTGCCGCTCGCCACGGGGCGCGCCACTTGTTATCGAAATATAAAAAATATGGCAATTCCTATTGTTTTTCACTCAATCTCGCGAACCGTTGATTTTACCGAAAATTTTAGATTATTACGTTAAAGAAGAATAAATTTGTGACAGTTTAAGCCCAACAGCAAGTATGTAGCGTAAATAATGGTCAAAATACAGACCATCAAAATAAATAAATTTTCCAAAGTAGTATAAACATTGTGGTTTTTATCAATATTCCCACAATATAGTTGTTTGAAGCAAACACCGAAATGATTTAAAGAGTATGCCAGTTTATTTGCTATTAATAGAAAATAAATAAAAGTATGAATACAAATACCCCCACATCAGCAAACCTGCAGCCTAAGTGAATTTCCATTTGCTTGATTTGATTTCCACAAACCTATTTAAATAACATTAGGTTTAACTGATACCTAGGTTTGCTGCTACAGGGAGGGTAATATAGTATATAAAATAATAATAGTATGATAAGAAACAAATAAATTTACCCAATTTTATAAAAATGTGTCTATAAATAAGGAAAAACAATAATTTAAAATCTTTGCTATTGGAATAACTTAAGGTTTTTTAATTTACATTTTTTAATTTTCTCCGTAACCAATAACTGTAAAAAACATTTTAATGTACTAAATTATTTGTTTTTTAGCTCTAAAAAATTCTTTAATGATACAATTGTAAAATTGTATGTTTTGAGGGTAAAAAATATGAAAAACCCGTTCTTAACAAAAAACCCTATAAAGCAACCGTTCCCATGGCCTGATCATTCTTCGTGAACTCGTTTTAATAAATGTAGGTTTACATGCCGAAAAACAGACCTTCAAAATATACCTTCAACGGCAAAACTACTCTTCCCAAAGCTGTCAAATGTTTACACATAAACATTTAAGCTAAGCTTTGGGTACAATACTTGCACATGAGAACAAAATAAAACAGTTTAACATAGTTAACAGTTCATTGAGGCTGAAATATCAGGCAAATAACAATCACTCAACAGATCTTCCATGCAGCGGGTAATTTTTCCACGCCAAGTGCGCCCATCTATACAGGACATGCTGAATATGATTTGAAATACAGGATTGATATAGAAGAACACAAAAAAATCGGAAATTTCACTACAAGACGTACAGACAAGTTCTGGTGTGAAATTTTGTCTGATTAGGCCATGGAACAGGCCCTCACAAAGACAATGAAAAGCTCTGAAGGATTGAATCGAGGACGAGGAAAACAGACAAAATGTTGTAGCTTGATGGGCGCTTGGGATGATCCGTCCTCATCAAATCTGTAGGAAATTGAGAAATATTATAAAAAATGACGTCAGTTGAGCATTAACAGTGAGCAACATGTTCATGTTGACGTGCGCCATTCTCGCATTGCTCGAGACAACGAAATTGATGAAAGATTAAATAGTGGTTTCATCAACACACACCATTCAATATAAATTATATACTGATTATTAGCAAATTTCTCTAATAGGGAATACGCTATTACAGTAGGTCTCATGGTAAGACCTAGACCTGGGACCGATTTACTTTTTCATTTTGGTATTCCTAGAGGCCAAAAATACATAGTTTTAAGTTTAGTTTTAGTTTTTAGTACAAAAAATATGTAGTTTTAAACATACCTCACGATACTATTGTTCAAATGGATGAGTAATTATCATTTCGTGCTGTGTAGCGTGTACTTCAAAGTTTTAGTTTCGTACGTTGGCAATAAGTTGCATACACCTATTTGACCTTGAAGATAGTTTTGGTAATAAATTATAATACAAACAATAAAATATTAATGATAAAAATGAGTAAAAATAGCTTGCATGTCTGCAGGGCTACAATGGTTCGCATATTGAGGTGTGATAGTGTTAAAATAACTATTTTATTACCTTTCATTTAATGTATCAGCATAGCCTTCTCTATGGTATCAGTCGTTGAACAGTAGTTTGTATCTAGTACAATAAATAAATAAATTTTCAAACTAGGTGGGTTTTTTGGAGACCCTGTATCCAAAAAAGCTAAAGATTTTACTATACTGTATCCAAAAAGTTATTATCGTCCGTTAGCACGATGACTCCCAAATATCATCCGATTTAGTGGAATTTGGTACAATCATTACTTTTATTTGTGAATCAAGAGATGGACTATTTATCATTTACTTTGTGAATCATGTAAACGTATATTTATTTATTAAAACGAGTTCACGAAGTATGATCGGCATGATAAGGCCATAGGAACAGTCGCCTTATAGGTATTTCGCCAGTAAGATTTTTTTTAATTTTTAACCCTCAAAACATACAATTTTACAATTGTATCATTAAGGAATTTTGTAGAGCTTAAAAACAAATAATTTAGTACTTTAAAATGTTTTTTACAGTTATTGGTTACGGAGAAAATTAAAAAATGTAAATTAAAAAACCTGAAGTTATTCCAATAGCGAAGATTTTTTATTATTGTTTTTTTCCTTATTTATAGACACATTTTTATAAAATTGGGTAAATTTATTTGTTTCTTGTAATACTATTATTATTTTATATAATATAATACCCTCTCTGTAGCAGCTAACCTAGGTACCAGTTAAACCAAATGTTATTTAAATAGGTTTGTGAAAAAAATCGAATTCAGCAAATGGAAATTCGCTTAGGCTGCAGGTTTGCTGAGGTGGGGGTTTTTTTATTCATACTTTCATTTATTTTCTATTAATAGCAAATAAACTGGCATTCTCTCTAAATCAATACGGTGTTTGCTTCAAACAACTATATTGTGAAAATATTAAAAAAACCACAATTTTTATACGACTTTGGAAAATTTATTTATTTTGATGGTCTGTATTTTGACCATTATTTACGCTACATACTTGCTGTTGGGCTTAAACTCTCACAAATTTATTCTTCTTTAATTTAATAATCTAAAATTTTCGGTAAAATCAACGGTTCGCGAGATTGAGTGAAAAACAATAGGAATTGCCATATTGTTTATATTTCGATAGCAAGTGGCGCGCCCCGCGGCGAGCGGCAGTATCTCGAGGTGGATAACTTGGATTTTATGTTATGGGCCCAATACTAACAACATATCCAAAAATCAGAACTACCCGACCTTTTGCATACCAAAATGTCTTATTTTACTGGACTATGAGTTGTGTTGTTCTTGCTTGCTGTCTGCTAGTTTTTATGTCTGCACAAACTAACTGAAATAACATCTGATTGTCTTTAATGTTGGTATCATTTGGTTTTTGTAGAATTCCAAGTAGGTATTGGCTTTAACAAAATATTTAAATTTAAAAACATTTTTCTTGAAAGAGTGAAAATTAATGATGTGATAAAACAATAATGATTGTTTTTTATATATTAAAAAGTTGCTCATTGAGACTTTTTTAAAGGATTAGACCATTATCATCAAAAAATACCTTAAGGATAAAGCAAATAATATAAGTGATGTCATAATTTTTTTCTTCTTTATTGAGGCAAGTTGCTCAAGACCTTCAGTTAAATTTCCCTCTAAATCTCCTTTCCAAGAAGACATCAGGCAATGTTGGTTTTCAAACACTGAACAAAGCTGGCTACTTAAGTCCAGAGAGCGGTAACACACAGATAAGCTGAGTCCAAGCTTATACTGATCCATATTGTAAACAAGAGACATACGCGGAGGTTTAGAATGGGGAGGAGTGGATTTTGGGATTCGAGGGAGGTCAGGGAAAGTTGAACTACATGATTGTACGGGATCCAGCTAATCAAACATTGTGTCTAAGTTTAACCATTTGATTTTCCAGAAAATTCAATTTTTGAATTGGAAAAATGTTTAGCATCGATAATTTCTATATTTTTAATACAACATGAACTTTTAAAATTTTATCAAACAGACAAAATAATTAGTATCAATTAGTACATTTTGTCCAACAATAAAAAAATAGTTGGAATTTGTAAGTGAATCATTTTTATTTTGGTTAACTTGACGTTTTATGGGTAAATAACTTCTTGATCAGCTTGTACGTGTTATTAAATTTATCGTTACGTAAATAAAATATGTCTAAATACACTTTAAAATTATTTTAAGTGTTATTAGACGTATCTTTTATTTACTTTCCGTTTTATGGGTAACAGTTATGGATGGTGCTATCTTTACTTCAAGGTACTGAATTGAATACAAATGAATAGCAATTTTACTCACAAAGTATCAAGAATTCATCTTGTTTTGAATAAACATTAAACAACATTCCAGAATGATTGGTCAATGAAGCCAAAGGGTTAAAACGTAAAATTTTGTTAAAAAACAAAAAAAAAACATGGTAAAAATCATTTAAAGTATTAGCACATTGAACTAACCTTTTTTTATATAACTGTTGGTTTTTGCACAAAAAGTTCTTTTATTAAACTTCTTTTGTAAGTTAAAAGTTACATTTGCAAGGAGTCATTACTAAAGACATAACCCTATACATCCAAATATTTATACTAGTCTTAATATTTTTATTTTACATCATGAGAGGTAAGTAAATTACTGGTTTTGTAGTGACCTAAAAATAAATGTGAGATTTGTTTTGTTTTTGAACCAACAACACTGAAATTTCTATAATTTTTTTATGGAATGAAAATTAAATGACATAATGTAAAATTAAATATTCCTATTTAAAAATTTTTGTTTTATTAAACAGTTTTACGAATATGACATGAATTGACTTAAGCCAGAGAATGTCTAAAGATCATGCTCTTACAGACATTATAAATCACTGCAGTATAACATGTTTTGGGTTTAAAACACTAACAAATTCAAAGTTTTACGAGTTTTTTTTGAAAATCTTTGAAAAACGGGTACACATTAATAACACCTAACCAATAACAACTGTAACCTAGAACTTAATAGCGCCAATAAATTTATGTGTAAAATATTTTTATGTGATCAGATATTACCTACATATCACACTTATAACTCATTTCATGCCACTCATTTTGGCATGTAAATATCTTCCGCCATCACGTCAAGTCACCAGTTTCCGCAAATTCTTTTCCATCACACGTTTTAGTTTATACACATTCCAGAGTCAACCGTTACCCTCAATACGCATGACCACATGTCTTCAAGAATAGACTTGAGTTTAACATCTCAGAATTAAAAATTTTATCCTTTAAATACCCGAACCAGAAAATCTTACTAAACTACATTGCAGAACGTAACTACTTCTTTTAACATACACAACAAATCACATTCCTGATCGTAAATACTATTTTAACACAAAACATTTACTCGTCAAGTTAATCACAGAATAATCTTTCCCTTAGGTGCGCCAACCACGTGAGTTACAGCTTGTGTGAAGAATGCCCGAGGGAGTTCCTGCCCAACATGCAATCCCCAGATGCCAAAGCCCTCGCCGAACTGACCAAAGACTCGATCCAACACCTTGACTGTTTCGACCTCGGAGAATTTTACGAAGGCATTTCCCGACTGAGGGAGCAAGAGCCGGAGAAATTAGCTCAAGACATGTGTCTCTTGGTATTTTCAGTTATCGTATTCATTATCGCTATGTCTCTTCTCATCACCAAATGCTGCTGCAAGAAGACACCCAGTAGGAAGTTCTGGTTGAGGGTGCACCAGATTCCGCACCTAGAGAAAATGGGGAAGCCCCAAGAAGTTCCGTACATCAAAATAGACGAGCCTAGAGTCAAAGCTTGAATATTTTTAGCACCTTGTCAATCGTCAATTATCGCACAAACGGTGCCTTAGGTATTTTTATACAGATATTTTTTCTGACATTAGATTATTGAATCTGAAATTTTTGTATGCACTTTGGCAAGGATATTTGAAATAAATATATTTTATCTATAACGTGTTTTCTTTGTCAAGGCTAGCAATTTTAATTTTGAATGGGTTTAATTTTATACAATATCATGCTGCATGTAAATTACTTGTTTGTCTGATAATCAACCGCCTAATATGTTAGCAGTGGGTCAAAACCATTTACGACTCTTTTTAATACTACTTTTTAATAGGAGAATACTTTTTAAATGGGTCATCTTTTTTTAAGTCAAGTTCCATACAAAACCTAAAAGTTCCAGATCTTTAAGTTTAGGCTGTGTAGTCCTCAAACAGTGATTCAATGGATTTTCCAATTAAAAGTTGCTTAATGCTTAGCTTTAAAAAACATAGTTTTTCAAGATTATTTATGATTTTCTTTTAAGTGTAAGAGATAGAAACTATTTTCCTGGTGAAACAAGAAAATTATTTTTTTGTTTTTAAAATGGTTTAATATTGATAGAAACATTAGTTTTTTAATATCTGATTTCTAATTAGTTTCTGATAAACAGTTATCAACCACAAGTCATCTGCAGATCCTTTGACATCCTGCTACATATCCAGTGTAAACATATCCCTAAGGATCTTCTGCCTTATAACTGTCAAAACCCTCGTCACAACCAAACTTGGCATTTGACAGCTCACTTTGCTATGACAACATTCAGGTCAACATAGAATGTGTTGAATAACTCTGTTTATTTTTGAAAATAAGCAAGATGGCAATAATGGTGTGTAAAAAAATACTTTTTCAAGTTACCAAATCTTTGTGCCCATATATAGTAAAATAGATAAAGAAACACAAGCTTTCTCATCCCATTGTTAAATTGGAAGCTTGTTTTTTTATGTTTAGTTCATAGTGACACTGGACGCTATTCTCAACATTTTTTTTATTTTGTTGGTGGTAATTTTAATTGGTTTAATGAGATTTAAAATCACAAAAAACAAATTGTAAACAAAACACGATCCTAGCGGCATCGGACAGAACCGCGAATATTAGAAAAGACCCGGTATGGATCATAAACATAAACAAATGACGTTTTTGGCCCGAAAGTAAACATTATTTAAATGGAACTGTCTAAACCATATGTTAATGCTAGTATACATAGTATAGGATTCGGGCCAAAAACGTCATTTTCTTATGTTTATGATCCATACCAGTATTTTTCTAATATTTGTGGACAGAACTAACAATGAAATTGTCTTTAGTTGATATGTGAGGAAAAATCTACTAATGGTGTATGTTTAATCATGGACAAAAAGAACTAAATATAGACCGTCAGCTGTGCTTGCATTATGCTGCGGTTACCATAGGTTCTGGCGCACACCACTGGAAGTGCCGTACATGGCACTCACAGCAGTGCGCGCCAGAACCTATGGTAACCACAGCATGGCTGACAGTCTATATTTAATTCTTTTTGTCTATGGTTTAATATATGGTATTAATGTATAGATTTGATGGTCATTGTACTTGTGATCTTACTAATAATTCCAGCAGTATTAATATTTACAATAAGTTACTAGTGTCCACAGTATAATTCCTCTCAGTATTAATTCTCATATCACAATAATGCTAACAGTACACAGTATTAATGTGTAAAGTATTAATATCCACAAAGATAAAGCCCACAGTCAATTGCAATTTAAGTCAATTGATGGGCAGATTGTACACAGTTCTTTTAAAGTCAATTATATAAACTATGTTAGATGGTCAGGAGTAATTTTCCTAGTTCTTCCAATTATAATTCTGCCTATGCAAGTCCGATTTGAGATCAATGATGCAGTCAAAACAGTGTTAGACCTTCAGTTCAGAATTTTATTTAGCACTTAGTGGTGTCCCCATCCTAAATAATTAATAATTTAGCATACTTTTAGGGCTTTTCTTTGTATGCATAATAATTCTCAATTATAAAACCATTCAGTGATCAGATACATTTTTTATTTAGTTGTTGTCAATTTCTTTATTTCATAATGCAAATTTTCTGTTTTAGTGGTATTGTATACTATATTCCACCAAAAAACTAATTTAGATGTCTTTACAAAATAAGGTTTTGCTCTTTTCCCTGTTTAAAATAAAATAACCAGATGTTAAAAAGAAAATACAAAAACTAAAATTTAACATAGGGACTGTGATTATTGAGTAAGATTTTGTTTTTGTCTGGGTCTCCTAGCAACCCTTAACACCAATTGATATATTCAAATAAACACCTAAATTTAAATACAAATTAATTTCAAAGTTTTAAAAATTTTAAATTATGAGAGCTGTTAATGTAGTAAGAAGCATTTTAAGACGTGTTGAGATTTCATCTTTCTCAACAAGACACCAAACTAGAAACAAAGGTTTGGTAGTTGGTGCCTATGAAAATCCAGATGGGGAGGAATGTACGGAGCTTAGTCCTTTGGGACAGAAGATTGATGACCAATCTGGAGGTAAGATCAGAAATGCCTTGAATGGATTGCCTGCAGGTATTGGTAAACTGGGAAGAGTTGTAACTCTGACAGATCTTACCTCAGAGTTCCCTCAGATAGCTGTGGCTGGTCTTGGGCCTAAAGATGCAGACTTCAACCAAGTGGAGTACCTAGATGAGGGTAAGGAGTTTGTGAGGATCGCTACAGGTCTAGGAGCACGGGAACTCCAGAAGATGGGAGTGACTGACATTGGTGTTGAAGGATTCAACAAAGCAGACGCTGCAGCTGAAGGAGCTACTCTAGGAGTTTGGTACTACACAAATAAAGAAGTTGAGACAAAAGTCTCACTACAAGAAGGCGGTGACGGAGAAGATTGGGAGAGAGGTGTAACCAAAGCAGACGCTCAAAACCTCGTCCGTTGTCTGTGTGAAACTCCACCCAACTACCTGACTCCTAGAATATTTACAATCAGAGCTAGAGATCTGCTATGTCCTTACGGAGTTCAGGTACATGCTCGAGACATTCGTTGGATGAAGATTCATCATTTCACCTCATTGCTCCAACTAGGTGCTTCATCAGTCGAGCCTCCAATGTTCCTTGAGTTGAACTACTGCAGTGATCCCATACCAACTACCAAGCCTTACATGTTCTTCGCCAACGGTACAACATTCAACAGTGGTGGTCTGTGTGTGCGAAAGTGTCGTGACATGATGCGAGCTGACATTGCAGCTGCAGCTGTCATCTTGGGAGTCTTCAAGGCCGTAGCTAGTATGAGGCTGCCTATCAACATGAGAGCTTTCATCCCGCTGTATGAGAACATGCTGAGTGGTACTGCTATGAAGTCCGGGGACGCTCTACGTGTCAAGGACTCTATTCTGAGAACAGAGAACACACAGAACCACTCCCAGATCTTGATGGCCGAGGCGATGACTTGGGCTATTCCTTACTACCCACCGGAGCTTGTATTTGCTCTTGGAACTCTGTCAAGAAACATCCAAGACACTGTCGGCTTCACATCTTCAGTCTGGGCCAGGAATGATTACGTCTGGGACCACGTCAACTACGCTGGAGCAGTCACAGGTGATCGCATGTGGCGGTACCCACTCTTCCTCGACTACGCCAATAAAATCAGAGAAAGAACTGATGTTGACGTGAACAACCTCGGCATAGGAAGAAGAGGAGAACCGAACTTGATTGCAGCGTTCTTAAACTACTTTGTGGAACCCTCAATCGACTTCACGTACATCGATGTGACGGGAGCGAGTGATATAGCCAATGGATACGTTCCCTACCTGGCTGCTGACCTGTATACAGGGTCTCCTACTAGGGGCATCATACAGCTGCTCTGCCACCTAAACTACTGCAAGGAGCAAGTGAGAGCTGCTGCCAAGAAGGAGTACAAGAGTGAGGTGGAAAATTAATAGCTTCTCATTATTTCTAAATTATTTCAGTTGCCTGTCTTTTCCAAAGTAATTTATAAATTCAAGCCTTTTGAAATTTTGTTTGTATGATCTTTTTTTTATTTTGTTTATGGTTAAAAATTACCTTATTAAAATGTGTTGTCTTGGGTTAGTACTTTTACTATGAATGCTAATAGGCTACTTGACTTCATGAAAAAAATTAGGCCTAGCCTTTAAATTGTAAAAATCAAGAACTCATTTTTAAATTACCTTTTTGTAACTATTGGGTTTGTATTAGTTCAATTTATTTTAAATTTTAAGGTAAAAATGGACATTACCTATGGCTACCTAAGTGTTTTTTTTTTAAATTACATTAAATTTTGGTAGGGGCCTATGTAAAAAAACTCCTCTTTCCAAATGACCCTATATTTATAATTACCTAATTAGCCTGTGACCTACCCAAGTGGTGTATCTGTTTTTTGCGTGTCTTTTTAGACTTAAATGCACAGCACAGCAAACATAATAATTAACACAAAATCAATTATACTAAAACATAACATGAATTTTAATTGTCAGCCCAAAGCATCCAACGATCTTGAACGCTTTGGACCGAAAATTATAGCCATGTTTAGCTACACCAGTTAAGTTAGGTTAGACAGGGTAATTAGGACAGGGTAATGGGCCTTATCTCCCAAAAGGTAGTGTGGTTTAAAAAACTAAGCGATAGGAAATGGCAAGTCAGTGGCTTAATCGGTCCATTGATTTAATCTTAAAATTTAAGTTAATTACTATCCTCAGCAAACATGAGCTCGGTCTTGATATCTTGGTCTGGTCTGATGTCATGTTGAGCTTTTTGTAAAATAAAATGGCTGTAGTAGGATTACAGGGTTCCCACAAACCTGGAAATTCAGGGAAACAGGTATAGGGTCAGGGAGAGTTAAAAAAATATATGAAGTCAGGGAAATTTGCTAAAAACTGTTATAGACCATGTACATTTTTTTTTATGATTAGTTATGTTGAATTGAGATAGTTGCTGAAAGATTACTTAAGTTCTGAAAAATCGATGGTGTATGTAATTTTTATTACAAATTTTTTGGGTTTTATTTAGAGTTCCAAGTATTTTAATTTGATTTCTTATTTGGTTCAGTGCTCGATTTATGGGGTAATGCGGCAGAACGGAGTTTCAGTACCTCCCTTTCAGAAAGATAAAAATATTGGCATAAATTGGTACATACATAGGTACAAATTACATCAAATAGGTTACAGTTCCAGCATATATATATTTTTTTATTGAACACTGTTTGGTATTGTATTAATAAAAAAAACCCCCGCTGCAGCAAACCTGTAGACTAAGTGCATTTTCTATTTGTCTGATTTGAATTTCCTTACAAATTTGCAATTTATTCCCTATTGAAATAACTTGAGGTTTATTAAGTACTTATGTTTGCTACTACAGAGGGAACTTAATAGGGTTTATTTTTATTTAATGTTAATGTAGCTAATAATGAAATAGATAAATTTCCCTAGTTTGTTCAAAATAATATACCCATAAACAAGCAAACTACAATAGTTTACTTTCTCTCCATAAGAATAACATAGAAATCATAAATTTAAGGTTCTGTCGGAATTTCTCCGCAACCATTCAATGCTTTAATTTTTTTTATTCTTTTAACCTCTACAAAATAGTTAAGAAATAAATTATTGTGAAATTATATATTTAGGTGTTAAATGGAAAAAATAAATTTTTACCATAGTAAACTGCCACAGTTGATCATGCCGGTTGGCAAACTCAATAGTTAGTACCTGATTTAATCAGAATTTGGATTATTTTTGCTCAAGTTATTGTGCTAATGTACACATGAACTTGAACGCATGATTTTTGGTCATTGGAGACAAATGTAAAGTAAATCCTGCCTCTGAGGTCCGGCCGCACCATTCATACGTGCTTAAGGCTCTGTCAAATTTGCCAACATTCTCTGGGAAATTCGCTAAATATAACCACAAGAATAGGTTTGAACCCCTGTTTTGCACAAAGATTTGAGGTGCTTGGACTTCTTTCATTTAAAATCGTTTAATGCTCTCAATTACAATACAGTAAATGTAACTGGGATTAAAACAATACATTTAAGTACAGAAAACATCTATTGAATCTTTTACTGTTCATCTTACACTAACGTTTTTGCAGACATCATAATAAAACATAAGTTGTGATGTTTCTTTTGTTGGTAACGGCCAATGTTACGACATAAGATCGCTTGGGTCGTTACATTTGATGTTTTCAATAAACCGTTTGTGGCAACTGAAGTAATAAAGTATATGTATCACAAACAGTGTTATTATTAGGATTCTTGTGATGTTTTTTTTAGCAAATTGTTCCTGTGAGTTGAGCATTTTTGAATGAGTAGGTAGATAATTGCACAACTAAAGGTTCAAACAATGTGATACTTTTTATGAGTCCTAAAATTTTTGATAGAAACAACAACAAAATGATAGGATACTACTACAGTCCACTCTTGGTAATTCAAACACTTGATAATTCAAAACTTTCGATAATTCAAAATGAAGGCTCAGTCCCTAGAGAATCTCTCAATATTTCAAATTTTTACCATGCATTTTGATACACTCGGTATTTCAAAGTCCAAATAGAGGGCAGGTCAATTTGTAACACGCAGTATTTCAAAGTTTCGTCGGAAAAACACTCTATAATTCGAAGTAACTCAGTAATTCGAAGTTTCGTCGGTTGGCACTCTATAATTCGAAGTCATGCTGTAATTCGAAGTTTCGTCAAAAAAACACTCTCTAAATCAAAGCCACGCAGTAATTCGACGTTTAGTCTGCAAAACACTCTATAATTCAAAGTGATCTCTTCCTGTTATAACAGGAAACTATACAGTACAGTACATCCTGTTCCCATGGTAGGCTAGTGACGTTTTGATGTTTGTTTAGTTAGAGCAGTACTGAGTTAGTTCGCTGACTTGTTTTTCTAAGTTGGCAATCCGATCTCTAGATTGCGCGACATCTCCTTGAGCACAAACGTAGTTGTCGACAGCTGATAGTTCAGCTATTGGCGAAATATATAGCGCTAAATAACAGATTTCTTTGCAACTATGTACATTAACTGAAAAATAAGCCGTTGATTGTTTAAAAGTGTACTAAAATACGGTATGATGTTTTATTGTAACGTGCTGTACCTTTGTATGTATTAAACAAACGAACTCTCTGTAATTCCAATGGTTTATTTTTCTCCCGATAAATCAAACTCTTGATAATTCAAAACTCTTGATAATTCAAATTTATATGCTTGGCCCACCAATTTCGAATTGTCAAGAGTCTACTGTACCTCCTCAATCATTCAAACTTTGGAGTGGCAGATATATTTTGCACAAGTTTAGGTAGTTTTTGTATCCATATCCATGTATGGAATAATTTTTTATAGGTACTGCATTTACAAAATTTAGGCTGTTTAAGGGAAAGTTCCCCCACTACTTTTTTTACTTAATATATGACGCTGATATATATACCTCAGCTTTCAAACTGCTATTTTTAAGGTAGGTTCAAGTGGAGGGGATAGATTTCTTCCCCTAAAATTCCCTAAATTTTGTGAACAGAGTATAGTCATCGACTTGTTCTAATGCAGATAACGTTTCCAGAAAGAGTCGCACTTTCATTAATCTGAAGGATCCATTCCAACTCATCAGAGGCAATAATTGGAATTAGTGAAGAGTGTTAAGTGCAATGCACTAAAAGACAGCACTTTCACTTTATCTACCAATCAGCTAGATCAAACACGCAACAACAAGTCAGTGTCTGCTAACACTTAGTGTGATTGCGTTATAAATCTATTACTGTTAAATTTTTACACCAGATTATTTACCGTAGCTAAAACAAAAGACGAGTAATCATAATTTGATGAAAAAACTCTTTTTAAAAGTCACCAATAAAATGTATAAAGTTACATTACACATGTGTGACATGGGGTGTGTCCATAATCATAACAGTGAAAAGCGACCTAAGTACTAATACTTTAAAACCATAAAACATGATAAAAACCCATAAAAAACATAAAAGAGTAAACGACAAATGTGTTGGTTTTAGATTTAAAAATTAAACAGTTAACGTAAGTGATTAAACAGTAAGTAAAAGTCTTTATTCTTTTTTCCTTTTTCAAAAATTGTCTTCCTCAAAGAGTCTTCCTTCAGAAATGGTATCATACTCTTAAGAATATATTTATTCTCTTTTTTTCATTTTGTTCATAGTATTCAACGACTGTGGTCTAGAAGTTTCAGAGCCTCTAGCTCCATATTTTTCGTTAAAACTTTAATCTTTTCCACGGTTCAAATTCACTTAATTTTTGTTGTGCTGATTACGCAAGGACTCTCTTTTTTATATTAATCCTTTTAAATTTCAAGTTTCTATCACTAGATTCATTCAGAAGCTTGCATTTCAACAAATCACATGTCCCACATGTGTCTTTTCGAGGCTTTTGAAATTTTTTTAAGTTGGGGAAATGTTTTTTTACTGTATCTTTATAATAACGAGGCTTGACCTCAGAGCCTGGATGGTTTTCTTTAGATGCTAAATACATTCTGTTGTAATGTAAGTCTTCACTTAGGTAATCTCTGTCATTTTTTGCTCTTGTGTAGTGTCTCTTTTTGCTTTATAATAATATTTGCATGATCAACAATAGCCTTTTCATAATCTGGAGAATATTTTTGGGTTTTCTTTTTATTTCCTCTTTTTTCAACATAAACTAAATCTTCTTTTAACGTTTCAACTGTTTTTTTAGTAATCCCAAAAAGTACATCCATAAAAGTGCTTTTGCACACTTGAACTACTTCACCTTTTCCTTCGGGTGAAGTAAAAAATACTGTAGCTGTTGTATGTATGACTCAAGAGGTGTCTGAAGAGGCATCGACGATATCTGAAGAGTCATCGGCAATGTCTCAAAAGGCATCGTCGATGTCTCAACATGCATTATCGATGTCTCAACAGGCATCAGTGATGTCTGAAGAAGCATTTTCGATGTCTCAAAAGGCATCCGCCATGTCTCAACAGGTAACGGCGATGTCTCTACAGACATCGACGATGTCTCTACAGGCATCGGCGATGTCTCTACAGGCATCGGCGATGTCTCTACAGGCATCGGCGATGTCTCTACAGGCATCGGCGATGTCTCTACAGGCATCGGCGATGTCTCTACAGGCATCGGCGATGTATGAAGAAGCATTGTCAATGTCTCCAAAGGCATCGGCCATGTCTCAACAGGTATCGGCGATGTCTTTACAGGGGCATCGGCGTTGTCTTTACAGGCATCGACGATGTCTTTACAGGCATCGGCGATGTCTTTACAGGCATCGGCGATGTCTTTACAGGCATCGGCGATGTCTTTACAGGCATCGGCGATGTCTTTACAGGCATCGGCGATGTCTTTACAGGCATCGGCGATGTCTTTACAGGCATCGGCGATGTCTTTACAGGCATCGGCGATGTCTTTACAGGCATCCCGTTCAATGAAATTTTGAAACAACTTAATGTTGCAGTTTCGTCAACCTCAACACTTAGAATATTACTTCTGAATATACTTAGCGTGCTCCACCCGACCTCGTGTTTGCACGACCTGCAGAGACGGGTTCAACTTTGCCCGCTTTGCCGCAGCCGTTCAACACCTACTGAATATCCCGGCAAAATATTCGCTAAAACCCCGTCACCCTCAATCTATATTATAAACACACTTTTAAACGATGTATTTATACGTATTGAATCTTTAACAAATCCCGTGCGAGCCCTAGCATACGCTATCACACAGTCTTCAACAGGTTCTAACACCCAATAAAGGATTCTAGCCAAACTAGTAAAGTGAGGGTTTATCGCTAAATAATAAAAAATAATAGTACACTTTATTAAGATAAAGCCGGTGAATTACCTGTATACTCCAGGGATCTTCACTCACCCACTCTTGGCACTACGTAAATTTGCTTTAGCGGCAAAATCACTACTAAACTACTGAACACTAAGTAACGTCCTAACGCTGGAAATCGCAGAATTAGAATGTCTTCGCATCCCTAGCCCACAAGGGATCTCCACTACTTCCCCCTCCCTAATCCTCTAGGGATGGGGAATCAGCTGATTCAATTACCAGCTGATCGGTGACGTCACGAGTTCAAACTTGACGCTGTCACAACACAACGCCAAGACAGTCGACTAGTTAGTAGTACAGGTTATGTTGTTAATGTTGTTATTCACCTGCGCCGACTGTGAAATTATACGGCAGAACTTTAATATCGTCGCTGGTTTAAACAAAAAGTATAATTTCCACCCATGACGTGTAGCTTAGTATGCGACAAGGTGTATGCATGTTATGTACGCGATATTGTATTTGTGATCGCGGTTCACCACCCTAGCCTAAACAACAACTTTGACCGTACTTCCCAAAGGTGTATATTAGGCATGGGGTTACACGGAAACGGTTTATCACTCGTTTTGTACACAACGATGCTATACTGTGACTTGTGAATCTCAACAATAGTGTCTTTAGTGATTTTGCCAAAAGTGAGGTTATCCCTACTTCAACTCTAGGATAGGCCTAAAACAGCCTATTTACCTTACCATGATAGGTTTACCACTATCACCAACCAGGTAAGGAATAGGCCTACTGATAATTAAATAATAAATATAAAAACTTAACCCCTCTATAATTTTGACCCATTACACGGCGATGTCTTTACAGGCATGGGCGATGTCTTTACAGGCATCGGCGATGTCTTTACAGGCATCGGCGATGTCTAAATAGGTATCAGTGAAGTCTGAAAATGCATCAATGATGTCTGAAAAAGGCTATGCCTCAAGAGGCATTGTCGATGTTTCAAAAGGCATCGTCGATGTCTCCACAGGAATCATTGATGTCTTGTGAGGCATCGGTGATGTCCCAAAAGTCATCGGCGATGTCTCAACAGGCTTCAGCAGTGTCTCAACAGGCATCATCGACATCTCATGAGACATCGGCAACGTCTCAACAGGCATCATCGACGTCTCATGAGGCATCAGCAACGTCTTAATAGGCATTGGCGATGTCTCAACAGGCATTGGCGATGTCTCAACAGGCATTGGCTATGTCTCAACAGGAATTGGCAATGTTTTAAGAGGCATTGGTGATGTTTCAAGAAGCATCAGCGATGATTCATGACACTTGATGAAACAGATTAGATTATATTATACCAACAATAAAGCAAAACATAAAAATGAAGTGTTCTCATTTCATAAAATATTTTCTATTTCAAAGATTTAAAGACTCTCATTAAACATTATTTAGTCTTAAGACAGGTCAATTTTTTACAGTTATGGAGATATCTGTAACAAAACACAAAGTAATTTGGAACTAATATGAACTAATTAGTTTTCGGCTTCACTCTTGTACTCCTTCTTGGCAGCAGCTCTCACTTGCTCCTTGCAGTAGTTGAGGTGACAAAGAAGTTGTATGATGCCTCTAGTGGGAGACCCTGTATACAGATCAGCAGCCAGGTAGTGGACGTATCCATTGGCGATATCACTCGATCCCGTCACATCAATGTATGTGAAGTCAATTGAGGGTTCCACAAAGTAGTTCAAGAACGCTGCAATCAAGTTCGGTTCTCCTGTTCTTCCTATGCCGAGATTGTTCACATCAACATCAGTTCTTTCTCTTAGTTTATTGGCATAGTCGAGGAAGAGTGGGTACCTCCACATGCGATCACCCGTAACAGCCCCAGCGTAGTTGACGTGGTCCCAGACGTAATCATTCCTGGCCCAGACTGAAGATGTGAAGCCGACGGTGTCTTTGATATTTTTTGAGAGGGTGCCAAGAGTAAATACAAGTTCTGGTGGGTAGTAGGGTACAGCCCATGACATTGCCTCGGCCAACAAGATCTGGGAATGGTTCTGTGTGTTCTCTGTTCGTAGAATAGAGTCTTTGACACGCAAAGCGTCCCCGGACTTCATAGCAGTACCACTCAGCATGTTCTCATACAACGGGATGAAAGCTCTCATGTTGATAGGCAGCCTCATACTAGCTACGGCCTTGAAGACTCCCAAGATGACAGCTGCAGCTGCAATTTCTGCTCGCATCATGTCACGACACTCTTGCACACACAGACCACCACTGTTGAATGTTGTACCGTTGGCAAAGAACATGTAAGGTTTGGTAGTTGGTATGGGATCACTGCAGTAGTTCAACTCAAGGAACATTGGAGGCTCGACTGATGAAGCACCTAGTTGGAGCAATGAGGTGAAATGATGAATCTTCATCCAACGAATGTCACGAGCATGTACCTGAACTCCGTAAGGACATAGCAGATCTCTAGCTCTGATGGTAAAAATTCTAGGAGTTAGATAATTGGGAGGAGTCTCACACAGACAACGGACAATGTTCTGAGCGTCTGCTTTGGTTACTCCTCTCTCCCAATCTTCTCCGTCACCACCTTCTTGTAGTGAGACTTTTGTCTCAACTTCTTTATTTGTGTAATACCAAACTCCTAGAGTAGCTCCTTCAGCAGCAGCGTCTGCTTTGTTGAACCCTTCAACACCAATGTCAGTAACTCCCATCTTCTGAAGTTCCCGTGCTCCGAGACCTGTAGCGATCCTTACAAACTCCTTACCCTCATCTAGGTACTCCACTTGGTTGAAGTCTGCATCTTTAGGCCCAAGACCAGCCACAGCTATCTGAGGGAACTCTGAGGTAAGATCTGTCAGAGTTACAACTCTTCCCAGTTTACCAATACCTGCAGGCAATCCATTCAAGGCATTTCTGATCTTACCTCCAGATTGGTCATCAATTTTTTGTCCCAAAGGACTAAGTTCCGTACATTCTTCCCCATCTGGATTTTCATATGCACCAACTACCAAGCCTCTGTTTCTAGTTTGATGTCTTGTTGAGAAGGAGGAGATTTCAACACGTCTTAAAATGCTTCTTACCACATTAACAGCTCTCATAATTTTACACTGAATTAAATTTTGACTTAATGAACAACCTTTAGCTACTGGATGGCAAAGTTTGAACTAGATTGCTGATCTAAACTGAAATAGTGTCTACACAAAATTACCTGTCCTAAATTTAATAAGTAGTAAGTTTGTTTTGTTATAAAACCATCTGATTTCTTTCAAATCAACAATAATAAAATTATTGAATGGTCTTTTGCAGACACTTAGACCTTCATCCTAGTTAAAAACTAAATCATTGGTAAGGTAAATTTTATATATTCTAGTCAATGTTCAAACACAAGTGATGAAATAATTTCAAACTTGTCTGTTTGGGGGGGGGGGGGGCAAATTCAACTATTCATAATATCGGCAAATCCTACTAATATTATAAATGAGAAAGTTTGGATGTATGGATGTATGGATGTATGGATGTATGTTTGTGACAAGTGAACGCGAAAAATACTGGTCGGATTGGGCTGAAATTTGGCATGATGATAGCTCACATTCCCGATTAACATATAGGCATATTCTTATTTCAAAAATCCTTTCGGGCTCCGCCCCAGTGGCTCTGGAGTTTCCCATGTTAACCTTATGAGAAATGGAATTATTGAATCTTAACAGCTGTTTCAATTAAACAAGTTGGTTCTGTTCTATGATGTTCAATAGCATTAAAGTTACAAGGATTACCAACAGGGTGCAGCACTATTATTTCTTTTACATTTATTTATGACAACAGCTAATTTGCAACCAAAAGGTGAGTGAGCGTAGCGAACGAACTTCAACCTGGAGGCGAGTTAGCGTAGCGAACGAGCTAACCTGAAGGCAAATGAGCGCAGCGAACGAGTCCAACCTAAAGGTGAGTGAGCGTAGCGAACAAACTTCAACCAGGACGTGATTGAGCCATGCGAACGAGATAATCTTGAAAATTAAGAAGTTAAACGGGGCAAAGCCCGCGGGTTACAGCTAGTATTTTATATATCTACAATGCAATATCGATTAATTTTTAGATGTCTACTTACAGTATTTTTCACGCTGAATCCAAAAATGCATTCAGTTTTTGACGGAGGGATTCATAAGTGGCCGTAAAACGAAGGTAAAAATTACGATTCTAAGGTTCATTAAGCTATACTGCTATACTGATGGTAATATGGGGTGGTCTGGACGGGTCCGGTCCGTGTGTGGACTGTGGACTGAGTGAGGAGGAGAACAAACAGCTGTTTATACTCGACTTAATGCGGAATGAAATCAATTCGTTTTGAAACCAAATAATCGGTTCTTATTTAGGCATGTGAGGAAGGTAGGTCAGGTTTTATGCGGATTCGTGACAGTATTAAGTGTTTTGAAGTGAGGTTAGATTAGGAAGGTAAAGGTTAGGTTATAATGAACCGACTCATCAATTTATGCTACTTCCAGACTGTTTTTGCACAATTAAATAGTGGGTGAAACACAATTAAATTACAATATCAAAAATGCTTAAGCACTAACACTAACCACTAGATAAGCTGCACCCCTAAAAGATACCACCCTTCTTTTCCCACTCTAGGTTCTAGCCTGGCCACATTACTTCAGGCCTAGTCTAGAGAGGGTTGCGGCATTAATAATTGGAGAAAATCCATTGGTGATAGGCAGGATTTGAACCTGGGACCTCGGGGACGCAAGTCCCACACTCTACCACCACACCAGTTCACTCCCTAAATAAATAGTCCTAGTAACCCTTCTTTATCTCCCTGGACGTTGCTGAAGTCAGTACCCAAAATGCAGGCAGGGTTCACGAAATCTAAGAGTAAGTTTTCCTGAGTTCCCCCACCACTTTTTTAGCTCAGCTGTCGGCTGTAGTTTCAATGTTAGTGTGAGGTGGAGGGGATGGAATCACTTCCCCTCAAACTCCCTAAATTTTGTGAACAGAGTTTATAAAAATAATAATCTGAACTTAAGTGTTAATATTGTGATGTTGCACAAACATTTATCGATAAAAATCAAATAAGTTGTTAATAACTGGTTAGAAACTATTTTCAATATTATTTGCTTTAAACTCAACATCCCCTGTAATAAAATAGAAATTATAACAATTTAAATTAATAAAAAAAAAAAATTAATGTATTGTGAAATATGTTTTGTGATTCATAAAAACTCATACTGATACTAGGTAATTGTAAAGTGTTGACAAAAGTTAGGTGTGAATTCTCAAAATCGATTAGTCCTATCAGGATTGATAAACGTTAATCTTGCAGATAGCTTGTAGTATTCTCTGTTATCATTTGTGAAGTGTTGAATTGTGCTGAAAATGTATACAGTTTTCTTGGTAAGTTATAATATTTATATAAAAGTTTAACGTTTTCTTTTTTAATTTAAATAGATAATTTCTCACAAACTTACTGGTAGTTAAAATAGTCTGTCTGTATGCTTTTCTTCTATTCAATAGGGTCTTGAAATGAAGTCAATGTGTAAATGACTAAATAAAACTTATTAAATAACAAATAAATAAAATAAACAATTTAAACAACGTAAATAAATGAAATTTTACATGAAAAAAATAATAAATTAAACGCCAGGCAATCCATTACCATGGATTAAAGTAGCATTTAACTTAGGTAATAACAGAACTAAGAGGCTGCATGTTTACAAGCCCCCTAAAAATATCATGTTAAAAAATACTATTTCCTAGCAGAATGAAAACAAACCTTTATTTACAGCTGATCCATTTAAATGTTATGAAATCACTAGGGTAGGGATCATAGATGGATTTTTAATGTAAAATTGGCATACAAAGTAAAATAAATGTTTAGGATTAATAATCACTTATATGTCATATCAAAATGGTGCCTACATAAATTCACATGCATTCTATGTAAAAGAATATGTATTACATTGTAGGAATTTTATTCATTAAAAAATTTAACCATTTCATAACAAGTGCAATAATAATGTGCAATAATTTTTAATAAGGAACGATACTAAATTTATAAAGTTAAATTCATATGCATCATTCTTATTACCAAATTACTTTAAACCACTACCTAGTGTCAAAAGAATCATATAATTATTTGATTTAAACATTTTGAAAATAAATATATTGTCTGCAATTTAGACAAAAGAAAATTTCTGAATGAAGCTTAGCTGCCGTTAGATTCTGTTAGTAAAGTGATCAAACAATATTTGTAGAAATAACATAAAGGTTTTAACTGATGAGTAATGTTATGTTAAATGATCAAATACTTATGTACAAGTATGTAACCTTAATCTTTTCTACATTTTGAATTCCCAGTCTTAGTGGCAAGAATGTTAACATTTTGATTTTAATTACTCTAGGAGACACCACTATTCCCCGTCAAATTATTTTTATTATCACTAGAGATTAAAATATTACACAATCTCCAGGTGGCATTGTGCCTTGGCTCCGTCTTGAGCCAAGAAGAAGTCCCTTGCTACGGAGATGGGTGTACCAACATAACAGTATACGTCGGACCTCGATGGGGTTCCAGAGTCATCACAATTCCCAGGACCAAAAACAGGTCTAATGATTCCAAAACAGCTCTTGAAATTAACGAAGACATGAATCAAAATCATCACCCTCCTCAGCACAAGCCTATTCCATCAGGAAATATATTCAGTGTTGAATTAACGGACGAACCTATAAAGCTTCCGACGACTCAAATCCCTTTAAATGTTAGAAGATATCCCTCTGGCCGACCCACAACTACAACGACAACTGCCAGAGTAAGGATTTACAAGGTTTCGTCCAACTTGTCTGAAGTTAGGTTGTATTTTAATGGCCAAGGATTTTTGGATATGTCATCGAGAGGATTATCAGGTATTGTTACTTCAATTATGAACTGTTTTATGAAATATAAAAATACCATAAGTATACCTTTACATTCATTTAGGCAGGACAAACATTCATCTTGTTTGGTATGAACCTTTAAACCAACATTTATTCGAACAAGTTCGCAGACCAGCATGATCAGACTATGGGAACAAGGGTTTATAGGGGGTTTTATGGGGTAAAAATGGGTTCTTCCCATTTTTGACCCTAAAACACAAATTTCACAATCTTTACCAAACTATTGTGTACAGCTCAAAAACAAATAATTTAGTACCTAAATTGAAGCATTGTTGTATGCCTGACTGTTACGTAGAAAATTTCGAAACACTGTAAATTTAAAATTCTCATGTTATTCTTATGGAGAATTGTAGACACAACAGTCTACAATCTTACTAATATTATAAATGTGAAAGTTTGTTTGTTTGTTTGTTTGTTTGTTTGAAGTTCAATCACGCATTAACTACTGGACGGATTTGGCTGAAATTTGGCATGATGGTAGCTCACGTTCCCGATTAACATATAGGCATATTCTTATCTCAAAAATCCTTTCGGGCTCCGCCCCAGTGGCTCTGTAGTTTCTCATGTTAACCTTATGAGTATTCATATTTAAAGGGAATTAAATAATTTAGTCAGCTGGTTCAACTAAAAAAGTTGGTTCTATGATATGCAAAATCATTAAAGGTTTTAAGATTTACCAACAGGGTGCAGCACTATATTTTTTTTGCATTTATGAAAACAGCTAATTTTAACTAAGTAGCAACAACAAACTGTGATATGCAATGAGAACTGTCAAAGTAGGATTGTTTACAGTTGTGTTTAAGTTTTTAATTTCATGAATAATTTTTGATATTTTGTGAACTTTTAATAATTTATGTTTCTCTATTGTTAGATGAAGTGGTGGCATATTATGGCTATGGTAGATGTGTTTTTACTATAGTATACCGTAAATTTAAAGAAGCAAATTTTATCAAAATGTGTCCTCCCCCATAGCAAGTTCAAAGCTTGAGTTGAGTATAACTGCTATAAACATTTTTTTACTTATATGCCACCCCGTACGAAGGACGGGTACTCTGCTAGTTCTCCATAAGAATAACATAAAAAAAACCCCACTTACCTTGTGATGTTTGCTTGTTTATAAAAAAAAATTGATAATATTTGGAAAATTTATTGATTTTATACTGTACTATAAACATTTAACTATAAAAACATCTTATTATTTTTCCTGCAGCAGCAAACCTAAGTACATCTGTTACTATTTAAGTAGGGTATAAATATGACAATTTTAAGGAGATATTTGAGCAAAAATCCAATCAGGCAAATGGAAATTTGCTTAGTCTGCAGGTTTGCTGTGGAGGGAGTATTTTTGTATAGAATCCTAGATAAAAAAAAACGCTGTATTTTTTAGAGACACAAAGTTTCAGCTAACTCAGCTGTTTCTTGCACACACATACACATAGTAGCTTCAGACATAACAACCCTAGTAGCACAAATATGTATTTTATAAATATTTTATATATTTAAAGTTGTATTTGATAGAACCTCGAATAAAATATATATATAATATATCTTTAATAATAGTTTGATATATTCAAATATATATTTAAAATATTACCAAAAAGCAATGCAAAATATAAGTTAAATATAAGTTTTGAATATATAAAATAGATTCATAATATATATTGATAAAACAAGTATAGAATCTATAATATACATATTTTATATGTATATTTTCCCTATTAAATATGTAAAAAAATTATGTGTTGAGAATATTTTAAATATATATATAAAATATTTTTGAAACTATATTATATATTTTGAAACACGTCAGATATTTTTATTAATAAAATAATATTATATTTGTAGAATATATAGCCAATAATCTTTTATAATTAGCAAATAAATAATTTGCATCTTTTTGTTTTTTATAGTGTCTATCAATTTATACATGCATTTTTTGTACGATAATTGCTATTGTGAAAGCGTTAAAATTAAGTTAATAATTGAGCGGAGCGAGCGAAGCAAGCGAAGCTCTTATACGTCGACTTTTATGCATTTCGTAATACGCAAACTCCTCCTAGACGGCTGAATCAATCGTTTTCAAATTTTGGATGGTGGTAAAGACCATATCGGTGAGTGCCAACATCTATATGGCGTTAAAAATAACTCTCAGGAATCCGCCCCATTGGGTCTCAAAGTTTCAATGTAATCCTTATGGAAGCAGTATTGACACATAAACAAAGACATATGATCAGCTGTTGACTTTTGAATGCAGTAGATAAATAAATGGCTGATAGCATTATTCCACAGATATTAGAACATAAACGGTGGTATGGATCATAAAATGATCAAATGACGACACTAGCTTGAGGTCCGCGACGTAGAAAGTGTTAAAGGAAGTAAAGTACTAAAGGTGAACAGTATGGAGTGTGCAAACTGTTTAAGACGATTAGATTTAGGTATATGCATTCTAAAAATTATAAGGGAAGGGAGGAAAACGGGTCCGCGACGTAGGAAGTGATGAAGGAAGTAGTCAAGGCAAGCTGTCCGGAGTGTGGGAACTGCTTATGACCATTATATTAAGGTATCTGCAATCCTATGATGCTATGGGAAGGGAGGGAAATAGGCCCGTCCCGTAGGAAGTCGTGAAGGAAGTAGTAAAGGCGAGCAGTCCGGAGTGTGGGAACTGTTTATGACGATTAGTTGAAGATATCTGCAATCATAAAATGCTATGGAAGGGAGAGAAACAGGTCCGTGGCGTAGGAAGTGGTGAAGGAAGTAGTAAGGATAGCAGTCCAGAGTGTTGGAACTGTTTATGACGATTAGATTAAGGTATCTGCAATCATAAAATGCTATGGGAAGGGAGCAAAACGGGTCCGCGACGTAGGAAGTGATGAAGGAAGTAGTCAAGGCAAGCTGTCCGGAGTGTGGGAACTGCTTATTACCATTATATTAAGGTATTTGCAATCCTATGATGCTATGGGAAGAGAGGGAAACATGTCCCCGATGTAGGGAGGAAAACAGGTCCGCGACGTAGGAAGTGATGAAGGAAGTAGTCAAGGAAAGCTGTCCGGAGTGTGGGAACTGCTTATGACCATTATATTAAGGTGTTTTCAATCCTATGATGCTATGGGAAGGGAGGGAAACATGTCCGTCACGTAGGAAGTGGTAAAGGAAGTAGTAAAGGTGAGCAGTCCGGAGTGTGGGAACTGTTTATGACGATTAGCGATTAGTTGAAGATATCTGCAATCATAAAATGCTATGGGAAGGGATGATTACGGGTCCGCGACGTAGGAAGTGATGAAGGAAGTAGTCAAGGCGAGCAGTTTGGAGTGAGGGAACTGTTTATGACGATTAGATTAAGGTATCTGCAATCATAAAATGCTGTGGGAAGGGAGGAAAACAGGTCCACGATGTAGGAAGTGGTGACGGAGGTAGTCAAGGCAAGCTGTCCGGAGTGTGGGAACTGTTTATGACGATTAGATTAAGGTATCTGCAATCCTATGATGCTATGGGAAGGGAGGGAAACAGGTCCGTCACGTAGGAAGTGGTGAAGGAAGTAGTAAAGGCGAGCAGTCCGGAGAGTGGGAACTGTTTATGACGATTAGATGAAGATATCTGCAATCCTACGATGCTATGGGAAGGGAGGGAAACAGGTCCGTCACGTAGGAAGTGGTGAAGGAAGTAGTCAAGGCAAGCTGTCCGGAGTGTGGGAACTGCTTATGACCATTATATTAAGGTATTTGCAATCCTATGATGCTATGGGAAGGGAGGGAAACATGTCCGTCACGTAGGAAGAGATGAAGGAAGTAGTCAAGGCAAGCTGTCCGGAGTGTGGGCACTGTTTATGACGATTAGATTAAGCTATCTGCAACCATAAAATGCTATGGGAAGGGAGGAAAACAGGTCCACGATGTAGGAAGTGGTGACGGAGGTAGTCAAGGCAAGCTGTCCGGAGTGTGGGAACTGTTTATGACGATTAGATTAAGGTATCTGCAATCCTATGATGCTATGGGAAGGGAGGGAAACAGGTCCGTCACGTAGGAAGTGGTGAAGGAAGTAGTCAAGGCAAGCTGTCCGGAGTGTGGGAACTGTTTATGACGATTAGATTAAGGTATCTCTAATTATAAAATGCTACGGAAAGGGAGGGAAACAGGTCCGTGGCGTAGGAAGTGGCGAAGGAAGTAGTAAAGGCGAGCAGTCCGGAGTGTTGGAACTGTTTATGACGATTATATTAAGATATCTGCAACCATAAAATGCTATGGGAAGGGAGGAAAACGGGTCCGCGACGTAGGAAGTGATGAAGGAAGTAGTCAAGGAAAGCTGTCCGGAGTGTGGGAACTGCTTATGACCATTATATTAAGGTATTTGCAATCCTATGATGCTATGGGAAGGGAGGGAAACATGTCCGTCACGTAGGAAGAGATGAAGGAAGTAGTCAAGGCAAGCTGTCCGGAGTGTGGGCACTGTTTATGACGATTAGATTAAGCTATCTGCAATCCTACGATGCTATGGGAAGGGAGGGAAACAGGTCCGTCACGTAGGAAGTGGTGAAGGAAGTAGTAAAGGCGAGCAGTCCGGAGTGTGGGAACTGTTTATGACGATTAGATGAAGATATCTGCAATCATAAAATGCTATGGGAAGGGAGGATAACGGGTCCGCGACGTACGAAGTAATGAAGGAAGTAGTCAATGCAAGCTGTCCGGAGTATAGGAACTGTTTATGACAATTAGATTAAGGTATCTGCAATCATAAAATGCTATGGGAAGGGAGAGAAAAGGTCCGAGACGTATGAAGCGGTGAAGGAATTAGTAAGGTGAGCAGTGTGGAGTGTGGGAACTGGAAACCGTTTGTAGCAGTTAAATTAATGTATCTGCAATGCTGAAATGCTATGAGAAGGGATGGAAGCATCCCCACGACATAGAAAATGGTGAAAGAAGTAGTAAAGGCTAGCAGTTCGGAGTGTGGGGAATGTTTGTGGCAATTAGATTAACGTATCTAAAATACTAAATTGCTATGGAAAGTGATGAAAACAGGTCCACGATGTAGAAAAAAGGATTAGAAAGTAGTAAAGTATGAGCATAGTGTGAAAACCGTCTGTGCCAGTTAGATTGATGTATCTTTAATCCAAAAATGCTATGAGAAGGGAAGGAAACAAGTCTATGACGTAGGAAATGGTGAAGGAAGTGGTAAGGCTTGCAGTGCAGATTGTGGGAACTGTCTTTGGCAATTACATTAATATATCTGCAATCCTAAAATGTTATGGGAAGAGAGGGAAATAGGTCCACGACGTAGGGGGTGGTGAAGGAAGTAGTAAAGGTGAGCGTGTTGAGTGTGGGAATGGATTAATGTATCTGCAAAGCTAAAACGCTATGGGAAGAGACTGTAGACTGTAGGTTAAAATAATTTCGAAGCACGAATCGATACATATTTCGATACATGCAATTGTTTTTAATTGAAATTTACATCTGAGTTGACAACAGCTGATTTTTACTCCATAGAGAATAAAAACAAGTTTTACTCCATAGAGGATAAAAACTTTTTTACTTCCTAAAGAGTAAAATTGCTACTTTAGACCCGCAACGCATGCATTAAAAACGACTGGTATTACTGCAGTATGACCAAAACAATGTAATATAAACCCTTGATGACTCCGCTCAATTTTGTGGATGCCTCTGCGAACGCCACCTAGTAATATGTACTCTGAATGGTGTCACTCTATCATACACGTAAAGCAAAAAATGAGGCAGTATACATGTTTGACAACTACATTTGGGTCAAACGAAAAAAAGTGTTGATGGGTTTTATTTTTTTAATTGCAATATGTGACAATGAATGTGATCATAGAAATCTCGAATGATTGGCTAGAAAAGGGTGCTAGTGACTGGCAACCTTTTAAGAAACTAATTACGGTTGTATATGACGTTCTAAAAAAAATTATTTGATTTACATATGCCATAAATTACATAATATTTGTCATAGTATTTAAATTAATTTTTGTAGTTTACTGTATTTGTATTCGTGGAGACTACTCACTATTCAATACAGCACTATTCAACTCAACTACTTGATGCCAAAACAGAATCATATTATACTGTAGTATCAAAAATATTTCAAGTATTGCAACCATTGCAACTGAGGGCCACTCTTTCACCATTTGAAAACTAAATATTACAACAGTCACAAGTAGCTAAGAGGTAAGGTAGGAGGCTCGTAAGTCGAAGGATCCAGGTTCGAGACCCACCGGGGCTAAAAAAATTTTATCCAGTAATTTTTTCAAAATTTGTTTTTATGAACTATTTAATCAATTTACTCAACTGATAATTGTGTTTTTCATACTAAATCTTTATTATTTTGTGTATTTATGTTTAGGCCCCATGGGATGTTTGGAAGAGATATTAAATACATTTTTTATTTATATATTATTCACTAAAATATATTATTGGAACATATTTTTTAAATATTTAATAGATTCAAAAACATATTTTTTATATATTTAATATATTTTAAATATTATATAAAATTGACATTAATACACACTTGAGATATATAAAATAGATTTTAAATATATTTATTCATATGTATTTAATATATATTTGTGCTACTAGGGAATGGCTAAGGGTAAATCTAAATTCAACATCTATAATCAAGCGTATAGATGTTTGACTTGTTGACCTTTCATCCAATTATTACTGAACCAACTTATTATTAGACTTCTAACATACCAGAACCATGTCTCTGCAATCATTGCATGATTTTCTATGGACCAATTTCAAAATACTTCTATTTCTCCAGGAGAAGACGTAAAGCTGCTGTTAAAGAATCTAACAGAGTTCAACCAATCACGTGTCACCGAACTACGTCTAGATCGCAACAAGATACAATACTTTCCTGCCCTGATGTTCCCTGCACAGTTTGAGTACAATCTAACGATGCTTAGTCTCAACTACAACTCGATTACTCCATCTTACCTAGATAGCATCACACGTTTTGAGTTCTCGAGGCTGAGAAATCTCAAGGTAATTAGGACTTTTGAAGGTTTTTCCTCTTTACCAGAGACATCACAATACCAGTTATGTTGTATTTTTCTTGGGTATTAAGAATAGTCTAGTTTATTAACACTGGATTTATTACGATAATTTATTCTACGGCACAGTACATGCAGTGGGGGTAAGTACATCAAGCCTCCTCCCCGCTGTACATGTAGATTGTAACAAAATCATAAATATCTTCTCTGCACCACCTGGACCTTGGCGCCCTCCTGCACGGCTGTGGTTGCGGGGGTGTTATTTACGCCACCGAGTACATTTATCTGGATCATTACAGTAGCCTATATCTAATAACGGAAGTCACCAATGAACAAACAATTTGTTCCAACTCAGTGTTACCAACACAACAAATCAAATCATGTGAGACAAACAATAATAACACTTTGTACAACACTAAAATATGGAAGAACACTAACACAACAACTTTTTTATTTGTTTATTTTTCTTGATTCTCTGTGTGTCAAGGTAATTGTAATATCTTCACTATGTTTCCATGTTTTAGACCTTATCCATGACCAACTGTGATATTGCCACAATGACAATGCCATACCTTCCATCGCTGGAATTTCTGGATCTTAGCCACAACTTGCTGAGCGAACTCCCTAGAGATCTTGACCGCTTGACCCACCTTCGCCACTTGTATCTCCGTGGCAACCGACTCTTACCATACGTTGACTACTCCATGCTGTCCAACCTCAACAATCTAAGAATTCTTGATCTTGCTAGGAATAGAGTCAAGTTTACAAGCGAGCCTTTGAAGAACCTTCGATATCTCGAATCGGTAAGTATGTGCCCTAGCGGGATTGTCAATTAGCATTAACAACAATGAATTTATAATGGAAATATTTAGTTTTTATGGTATGATCCTTGAGTCAGGAATCTTCTGTTAATGATAAGAGAATAAGCTTGCAAAAAAAATCAATCTTTTTAAAGTTTTACACTTTTTTTCTAGCTCTAAAACATGTTTTAAGGACGTAAACATCTCTAAAAAACTTTAAAAACATCTAAAACTACAGTTCGCTTACCTGGTAGATAGATTTTGTATTACTAAAGAGAATCTGGACTCTATCTACCAGGTAAGCTAGCTGATTCCTATCCCTGTACATAATACTCCTACTCAGCCAATTGACTTTTCCTCATTTTCTAAAACTACAGTTCTGTAGTATGTTTACTATTGGTCTAAATTGGAATATATTTTGAGATTTTTAGCGCTTCAAAATAATCAACTGATGCACACAGAAAATGAGTACGAATATTGAAGTGTGCCAAGGGAGGTGGTTTCAGAAGGTTAATTCATCAAAATTAGGTGCATTTTATCAACAGCAAAGTTTTATTATCTACCAACTATCTCTTTCTAAATTTCTTTTAAATTAGGGTAAATATTGCTTTTTTGTGGTAATAAATTAATATGATTCCAAACAATATCTTTACGTTAAACATTATGGATGAAATAGTCTCCTTTATTAATCTTGCTGACACATTTTAGTTGAACCTGGAAAACAACCATCTGACGTCAGTGCCCGAAGTGTTCATGGACAAATACAAAACTGTAGTTGTATCTCTGGACAACAATACACTGATGTGTACTTGTTCCCTGATGAATATGATCAATTCAAACTTGGGTAAAATCATATTTTTGTTCCAACACGACTATGCAAGGTAAGTCTTTTGTATGTTTATCACTAAACTTTATGTTATAGATTGTGGAAGGTGAGGTTTTTATTTTATATCACTAATATTCAGGCACCGGTAGTAATATTATTATAACTAATAGGATTTAACACATCAAACGGCTGAGCACGAACATGCTCGCCTGTGTTTGGGGGGGGGGGGAGCTTTAGAAGTTTTCAAAAAATATTGCTGGAACAAAGATCAGCTGTTTAGAAATCAATTTAATCATTTGTTTATTAAGATTGAGTTAGTGAATGTTATACTATCGATATGTCAAACTATCGACGAGTGCAACAATAAGCTACAACCGATTAAAAGGATCGTTTCATAATTATTTTGATACACGTGATTACTTTCAATCAAATATCACAACTGCTGACTCTTAGTCCCAAGGGACTAAAAAGTTTTTTACTCCCTGGAAACAAAATGAGCTACTATAGACTTGCAATGCATGTATAAAACAGCTGTTTTTGCTGCAGTATGAACAAAAAGTATATGTTGTTGTCTCCAAAACATGGATGACATGTTATATTTTTCTTTGTAACAAGGTGCATGGATGGGGATATGGAGGTCTTCCTGGATGAAATGAGGATAATGCCCGAGAGATTTGAACATCTATGTGAAGCTACTTCATGGCATTCTAGGACCCTGAATTCTTTGGCGTTGTGGTGCCAGCGTAACGTGGGAATTATGGAAGTCATATTCAAGGTAATCCTGTAGGTCTCCTTCGTGTTAAACATAGACTGTATTATAGAGAAGTGAGGTAGAGAGGAACCTTGCTTAACACGTTCGCTGCGGCACGTCAAATAGCGGGCGTATCCCCAGTGCTGCGCAGCCCTCAGCGTCAAACAAACCCGATTGCCGCGTGTGATTGGCTTTCCAATTTTGGTCTGACGAATAGCAAATAACGTGCGGGGATGTCCTGCTTTACAACGAGAGTCGACATTGTTCGCTAAACACCCACAGATAGCAGCACTGCTTGGAACGTAGCCGTCCCATTGGAATTGTATTGCCAAATGGAGGGAAAAAGACAGGACAAAAAGAAGACTTTTGAGATTGCCAGACAGGGATTTTACGGGGAAATTTACTACCAACCTACACCACAACAAAATGCAAGTCACATACTACACGCTAACGTGGTATAGGTCCGCTTTCGGCCGACGCTAGAGCAAAAACGAAGATATACAAAAGGCATTGCCGAGCGTTCCCGATGGGGTACGGACGCACCGTACGGGGGCCAAGCGGCGTACCTGATCGGGAACGGCCGCACTCTACGTGTTAAGGATGACCGTGCGCTTTCTGCTCTGGTATGTTGTTGGGAAATATAGGTACTTGTGACAAGCAAAGGAAGAGCCTGAGTGTCGAGCACTGTCCGGAAATTACTAATGAAAGAACACTGGGTCTTCCTCCTCTGTGAGAGATGTAGTAGGACTACATGATGGCGAGAAGGGGTGGTAAGTCATACCGTGCCTGGTTCGATCCCAGCTGACTCCACTGTCTTATTACTGCGGTCACCAATTGCCTGTTAACATGACTCGTACCATTTTGGTATTCTTTGTCTCTATCACATTTTGTTTAAGAGTATAGAGTGACAGAATTGATTTTAAATTTTAAGTGAGATTCAGGTTTCTAGGAGATTATTTAACATAAAAAAAAAAATTGAGCTTTTGGATTATTTTCATAAACAAATATATGGCAAAAGATTTGTCTGTATTTTAAGATCTCCTTTTTTGAAAGCTTCATAAAAAATTATGTTGCTGGGTCCCACACAAACAACCTTTTCTAGAGCCAATAAGGCAAATTTAATTTTTTAAATTAAAATTATTTAAATTAATTGTTTAAATATTCTCTAAATAACCTTTCAATTTTGTTAGGTATGACTTTTACTAGCCAGAGTGAGGGTAGCTGAGTGATTATAGTGCTCGCCTTCAAAACTGGAGGTTGCAGGATCGATCCTGGAGATGCCATTTATCATTGGGTTAACACTAAATGATGGAATCCAATAAAAGATTGACTATAGATAGTAAAGTCAAGTTCACACGAGACCAGTAGGTCTAAAGCAGGCAGGTAACCAGCTCGTTTGGTGGCCTCGCATAAACAGGCTTTAAGTCCAAGATCTGTATTCTCTTACAACAATGTATAAATGGCCAATTGGGTGGAATTCAAATAAATATCCTACAAAGGAAACTTTGAAAAACCAAGTTTTCGTTGATTGATAATTTGCAATTTTATCTCATCCGACAACCCTGTTTTATTTTCTAAGATTTCTATATTTAATGATTTTTTTTTGTAAACAAATTACTTTAATATTTCAATTTGTCATTCATTTTATAGATAACTGGAGCATCTATTGTTTTGGCGTTTCTGGTGTTCCTATTACAGTGGAGAAGGAGTAAATGCAAGACTAAAGCCAAGGAAATTCATTATAATATCCTGGATGAGCAGAATATTTCTACAGTATCCGGACCTCATGTTGATGTATAGGAATTGTTGTCCATCATGATCAAAATAAGAGGTTATAAAACTACCAATAAACAGCCGCATAAATGTTTAATTAGTTTAACAATCTTATAAAATTAACCCATTGACTTTGTATAGTGAAGTTAATACTATTTTTCTCAGTGTTAATTGTGTATCAAGCAGTTATTTATATCACAGCAATGAGTAAAAATTACACTTTTTTTCTTTCATTATCATTTTCTTTGCCAACTTCTTCAGTGTGTTAAAAAGATAAAAGGGTTTATCATATTATGTGTAAGATCCAAATCATAGTTTTATCAATTATAAAACACCACTAAGCTAGTGAGTTGTATTTTTGCGTATTTACAAAATTCAATTTTACAAAGGATATGTTAATATATTTAACAATAAAAAATTTATTAAGTTTACACATAATTTCATACCCTGAAGTGCTTTGAGTTTAAGGTATACTGTATATAACAAGTTACACACACACACACACATACAATACACAAGAATATAAGTCTGTTGATATGCACATATTATTTTCATCACTAGGGATCAAAGTGTCTTTTTTTCTATAAATTTTAGTTTAACATTGGGAAATACATGAGAATCAAAATACATTTTGGTTTTTGAAGAAACTATGTTTTGTTATGCTGCATGATTATTTAAAGCAAACTTACAAAACTAACATAGTTTTTTACTTTTAATAATTAGCTCCCAAAATGGTTTCTATGTAGATTTCCTAACGTAAACTGGCACCATTTTTTAGATGCTTGAGTATTAAAAATTGCTGAAATGTTTGTATTACAATTCTTCTAAATCTATATATTATTAGGCAAGCGTGTTTCTTTAAAACCTTTTTTTCTCAGATCGGGTGCATCGGAGGGAAAATCTACCCATAGGTACTGTTGGAAATATATTTTCCTGTAGATGTGCAGAATCCCTCCATAAATTAAAATAGGCTCAAAATAAGGAGAAAATGAATTTTTAATAAAAAAAAAATAACATGGACCTTATGGGTTGACATGCTGGTGAAGAAATAACAACACAATATAAACAAAAATCAAAACAAATAAATGGAAGAAATTAAAATCACAAGTTTAATTTACACAAATAATTTAGAGTGAAAATAGAGAAGTGTGTACATTAAATATTTTTGGTCCACTTTTTGACCACAGTACAACCTCTAGTGTCAATAAAAGGATATTCAACGGAAAACCTACCGTTATTACAAATTTACCAAGTAGCAAGAAAGTATATAAACAGTATTATAAAATATATTTAATCCATATTTACCCAATATCAAAAACTATAGGTTCAATATTTTTCCAACATTTAACAAATATTGTTTTGAAACAAATAACATTTATCAGTAAATCTATTGAATCAAGACTAAATAAATATTGTTTTAATATTCATCTCCAATATTGTACAATATTGTTTTCAATATTAGAAAATATTGTTTTAATAAAATATAAATATTGTTTTGCTACTAGGGTAAGAACAATATAATGATACTTTTATTATATATCGCTATTTTCTTTGAAAAATTTTCAGAGAAATTTTAAAATGTCAGAAAATGTACAGCTGATGTCTTTCAAGCTGTAAAACAACTTTTCTTATATTGGCATACATTTTTTTTTCAGTTTGTAAAAATGCATTTGCGTAGTTTCTTTTCAGAGACAATGAATTGATCAAAGTGACAAAGCTTCAATCAGACCAATACAAAAGGGACATCTGGGTCGTTTGACGGAGTACCTTCCCAATTGAATAACCGGAGCTATACTGGATCAATCTGACTTGACATTGGTCAAAGATAAAATATACCTTTGGACCTGAAGTTCTTTTGCCTCTTTGGAGGACAATCTACTTAAATGATCCACAAGGTTTCACATCACTCACTGAGTTTCACTTTGGATTGAGAAATATGGATTTGGTTCAAAAAAGATCAATGGTAGACGACAGAGCCGTCCTTAGATGGAGTGGGCAAAGTGCTAACATTCAAAGCCCCTCACTACAAAAAAGTAGTAGGCCTATCTCAAGAATTTCAAAATATTCCCAAATGTCAATATTAGTACTGTATTCATATTCCTTTCAACTGTATTATAGAATGATGTGTTGCTTTATATCTGAAATAAAATTAAGAATACTGTTCAGTTAGCTAAAAGTTACGATTTGGTATGGTTTGTTTTACCGGTACATCCTTTTAGGCTTAAACTATCTACCTATAGTGCCCTAGCATGAACTGTAGCTATGAGAACTTTATTCATCTATCTATCTATATGTAAAAAAAGGTTTTTTTTTGTTACACCCCTTTTCAGCCGCCCTACTTAACCTATTTTAACGATTTAGGTGTCATTTTACAGCTTTCGATTGATCTATAGGATTGCTACAATCAAAATTTACAACTGTTTACAACTGCTAATTTTTACTCCTTAGAGAGTAAAAATGCTACTTTAGACCCGCAACGCATGAATTAAAAACGGCTGTTTTTGCTGCAGTATGAGGACAAATATTGTAGAAACTAATGTTCAGTTTGCAGCAAAACAGAAATGCAGGCAGTAGTTTCTATAAATTTATGTTACATTCTGTTCCCAAACGTGATATATTTGAGTAGAAACAGAGAGAGGGTAAATCACAGGGAGAAACACACACACAGAGAGTGATGGGGGGGGGGGGGAGAATCACCTGGGACTACCAGTAGATTTTGCCATAACATTCCTGAACGATATACAACATGAAGTGCATCCCTCCTCTGCAGGGTGTTTTTTAACGTGCAACCCAAATTCAAAATACTGTGAAACACATTAACAACTTATACAGTAGTTTGGTATCCTTGTTTTCTATATTTTAGTGCCAATCAGCTGATATGCGTTGTTGCGTATAGTTATACTAGCAGAGGACCCGTCCTTCGTCCGGGGTTGATGTAGGCTATATGGTGCTTTATGAAATCTGACATGAAAAAAAGAGTAAAATAAGATTAAATTTCAATAAATGTACCTATCAAAAACTTTTAACTTACTAATTACATAAAAAACATTTTCAAACAATAAAAGAAATAAAAAACTCAAAGCTTTTACTAAATGATAAAATCAAACATAGACAAACAATAATTTACAACATCTGGTTAATATTACAGTTTGAATGAAATGAAACATGTGATCTTGTTTCTAAAAAGCATTGCTCACTAAGCATTGATTATAAAAATATCTCATTATATACTATGTGAACAAAGAAAAACATCAACACTCTTACTACTAAAACAAACAGAAATATACTTAGCCCTACTATTTATAGCTCCTACTATTCATGCACCAAAGGCAAGTGCATATACAACTTAGGTTTTTATTGTTGTTTTTAAATTGAAATATTTGTATATCAGCTTAGAATAAGGAAATTTAACGTCATTCAAACAATGTTTATGTCGAGGGTAGGTTAAGTTAAGAGGAACTTGGTTGAAAATATACATGTACCGGTAATGACCATGAAACGCTTGTAAAAAGTTGTTCATTATTAGAATAGAATGTGAAATCTACAGAAAGTGTCAATAGTTATAATATAGATAGGTAGTAGCTACCTTTGGATTAGAATACACCATTACTTACCAATCTATGGGTAGTAATATGAAATTATGATTTAAAAATTTGTGAAAAAGGAAATGGTGTGAACAATATTTCTCTCAAAATGGTGAAAATATACAACTAATTATCTCCTTGAGAAAAAGTTTAAATTTTTAAGGTGTGTGCCCTACTCTAAACACATGTTAATTGTAGAAAAATGTTAAAATGATTGAAGTAAATATAAACTTTATAATTTCACTATTTTGTACACCAATATCTTTCAATACATTATTCACATTAGCGAGATTTTAAATAATTAATTAGGGTTAGATACAGCAACAGATATACAATCTGACTTAATTCATAAAATCAATAATCAATGAACCATCAAATATAAGAATAACTATTTATAAGTCAGCTGTGGAATTGTGAATTAATGTGGTTTGACAGTTCAGCTTGTTTACATTTGGGTGGCATAGCAAATTGAAAACATTGTATTTGTTCTCATGGCAGCCATGGAGACCAATCAATATTTACTTTTAAAATCCTCATCTCAGAACCTTTAAAGCCAAAGGGGCAAAGCCAACTATCAGTGTCGAATTGTGAATAGTCCTATAATGGTCCTTGGTATGGTAGCTATATTTTTGTAAAATTTAAGCCCAGTTGCTTCAGGAGTTTTTGCGCCTATTAGTAATACGCATACAGACAGACACCATTAGATTTTTATATAATAGTATAGAAGTATAGATGTGAGGCTTAGTGTAATTGGTAATTACAATTGTAAATAAGACACGACATTGTGTTTCCTCAATCTGAAAGAGTTAGAATTATGTTGAAAGTAAATCATGGTTCTCTAATAACTGACATAAGAATTTAAAAGGGTTCCACCATAGACAAAAATTTAATTCTTTTTGTCTATGGTTATACGCGCCGGCTGTTAACACGCAAACATCATTAGGCATTATTTAAGTATTTATCAAGTTGAAATAAACTGTAAAATATTCACAAAGATCCAAACAATGCACTGGCTGCGAACTGAAACTTCGCGTTTCTCTTAAGTATTTACAAAATAATTTTGAAAAAGCTTAAATTAGTCTTTTTCCAATGCGATTTTTACTTCAAAATAATAGTAAAACATTATTTTTGCTCCACCCACTGCAAGCTCTGATTTGTTAAAAACACAAAAAAGCACAAGATCATTGGAAACAAATTAGATTTAGAATGTTGAGAGCTTGTACCGTAGAGGCATGTTCAGGAACATTAGCATTTTTGGCCGCCATCTTGAATTCACCTGGTAGAACCTACTTAAGGAAAACGAATCAAAATTTATGGAAAACTTAAATCTCTAGATTCAAGCAAAAATCAAATCAGGCAAATTGAGATTCGCTTAGTCTGCAGGTTTGCTGCCACGGGGGTGTTTTTGTTTAACACAGATTCGGTTTCATTAAATTTTAAGTGTCAATAATAGTTCAAATTTAAGAAAACCGAATCTGTAGTAAATAAAAATACCCCCGTTAGCAAACCTGCAGACTAAGAGAATTTCCAGATGAATTTAGATTATGTAGTTGTGACTTATTTACAATAAAGAATTTAAAATATAATAATAAAAATAAGAATTTAAATAAAATCTTACACGATCATCAGGTTTACACAGGTTTTTACATGTGACTTTTCACATGTCAAAAGTGAGGTTGTGTCGCGACATACAAGTAGGGTAGGCCTACCAAAGTTTATGTTTTCATCTTTTATGTTGTGTAAAATGTGTTGTAAAAAGTTGACAAGAAACAGAATGTTTGCATATTTATAATGAATTGACATCTAGACGAATGTGCTGAAGATGGCTTTATAAAGCCGAAACAGCTGTACACT